TATATGAAACTAACTCTGTTGTGAACAAATTTCAGTTTTGAAAGACCTCTTTTCCCATTACATGGATGCTTGGAAGACATGGTACAGCGAAGTCACCCAGAAGAATCCATCACCTAATACATCACAACACCGTTAGATCTTCTTCTTCTTCTTCTCTTACCTGTGAACATCATCATTCGTATAGAGAGCTTCAAGAGTCATTTCTTTTGATCAATGTGGTTTAGTTTCTCCACACAATTGTAACTGCAAGAATCCGACATTAATTCACAGATCGCATACCCTCTTTGCTTTCTGAAGTTCCTGTAGGCTATAACTTTTGTGAGTTACATATAAGAGCATTCATCTTTTGCCAGTTTTTTGCAGCTTTTGTATGGCATATTGTTTTGAGAGAAACAAAAACAAACACCATCTCATCTTATTTTCCATTTTTTTTAATGGAATATAAAGTAGCAATACCATTCTCTAACAAATGGGTCTCTTGCTTTTATTGGTATACTCTCATTAGTACATGTTTTAAGGGAAATATCAGGAACTAGTGTTTGTCTCAGAGCTTGGAAGGAGGTTTGTACCATCCCCATGGTTCATCAGAGATATACTGTGTCACCTGCTTCACACTCAAGTAGTTCTCAAGTCCCCTGCAAGGAAGCAAATATGTTTCAATTCAAATTTTGTTGGTAGTCTATTAAGGTTTAAGTTACAATGGACCAATTCCATCTAGATGGAGAGGTTTTTTTAATGGTTTGGTAATCTTGACACTTGTAGCAAAAGAAAGAAAGAGACTTGCCATTCTCCCAATTCACGGCCAAATCCACTGCGTTTGGTTCCACCCCATGGAGCTTGGCAGAAGCATGGCTGAGAGCAGTTGACCCATACTATTCCCGCCTGGAAAGCCTGAAAACACAATGATTACGATTCATAAACTTTAGAGATGAAGTTTAATCATGGATATGTGCAGTTACTGATTGTTATTGTTGATAGTAAAGTTAAATACACACCTTACTAACACGATCACAGCGGTCCAGATCATTTGATAATACTGCGCCGGCTAATCCATATCTGCAAATACAAATAAAGTCAGGCATATGATCTAATACATCATCAGTGGAGTTCCATTTCAAGATAAGAAGAAAAATCTAAACTCACTGAGAGTCATTTGCCAGCTCAATTGCCTCATCCTCTGTGGAAAATGTTTTGACACACAGAGCAGGACCAAAGACTTCCTCTCTCCAGATTTCCATTGAAGTAGTCACATTTGAAATAATCGCAGGTTCAACAAAGTATCCCTTCTTTAAATGCTGCAGAACATAAATAAAACATTGTAAGTGCTACTACAGGCTCTAGATAGTATTTGGACATACATGGAAGATTAGTCCATATCTGTAATGTACCTCAGGGCGAGTTCCTCCACAAAGGACAGTTGCACCGTCATTCCTAGCGTTTGAGACAAACTTCAAAACTCTGTCGTACTGCACAGGATAAAGATGTAAGACTTGACTAGAAATCTTTCGTGATTAACCTAAATTGACAGCTAAGAGGGTTTTGGAGGATTGAGCTGTGATTCTTGAGAACATCAATTCTGTTCAGCAGTATTACCTGTCCTTTGCTGACAACAGGACCAAGCCTACAGCCTTCTTCAAAAGGATCTGAAATCTTAATGTTCTTTGTCCACTTTACCAGCTTGTCCAAAAATTCGTCAGCAATCCTTTCCTGACATTTCACCAGATTTTTTTTCATGAAAACAACAGTACACAAGAAGTATAGTAAAGCTTCTCTATCCTACTTTTATCAGGGGTTTCCAAGGTCCTATGATCATTGATACTTATCAATCTATCTGAATTGCTGAAGACCAGTCTTACAAAAATACTGAAACTGTGGACCTTCGCATTGGTGGTTTCATGTAAAGGAGAAGATATATTTCTACTTGTCTTATAACTAGAGTAGCCTACATAAGTATAACTCAGTTTCCAAAGGAAACCAATAATTTACAACATAAAGTTTCTCTAGAGAGCAGCTTTGGGTGGACGTGTAATTGTGTTAAAGGATAACACATATCATGTACAGTTGGGTGGAGAATTTAAAATCAGAGACTACTGCAGATTATATACTCACTTACATGTACGAGAAGTCGAGATGTGGCACTGCAAATCTGCCCATTCGTCCAGAAACAACCAAACATAGTCCATTCCACAGCTGTTTAGAACAAAATTGTAGTCACTTATAAAACTAATTGTTTAGAATACATGTAGCATGGTTTTCTTAAGGTTCCAAAAGTACCCACCTTTATCAATATCAACATCATCAAAGACAATGATAGGGCTTTTTCCCCCAAGCTCCAAGGAAACAGGCTGTGGAATGAAACATACAAGATTTCATGCACAGACCCCGAAAAATCAGAGGTCAAATAAACAAGCCCAGATAGATACTAGTTCCAAAGGAGAGTAACAAGAACATTTGGACTTACTTTAACCAATTTGGCAGCGGAAGTCATAATGCTGCTTCCAGTTGTTGTGCTTCCAGTGAATACAATCTGGTAAAGGCTAAAATATCAATACTTCAACTAACCCATAGAAAGGAAGAATAAATGCTATGTCTTCAAGTGTTTGACTTTCAGGATACCGGTAAGGATAAAAGTGACTATAATCAGACCTTGTCAACATGTGGATGCGATGCCAGCGGAGCACCTGCTTCAGTTCCTAAACCAGTCAGAATATTAAGAACACCAGGTGGTAGACCCACCTCGCGGCAAATATCAGCGAGCTCCAAACATGTCCTGAAGTCAAACCGCATCAGATTGGCGAGTTCATGAACTAATAGTTGAAATGGCTAGCTATGATGTCAACAGAAATAGAATACGCACAGGGAGGCCAACTCTGAAGGTTTCAGTATTGCCGTGCACCCAGCAGCAAGTGAAGGAGCAACTTTCCAGACAGCCATCAATAACGGATAGTTCCTTCAATGCAAATATCGATTATTAGCTGCCTAATATGTGGTGGCGTAATGGTTTGTCTAAAAAGGAAGAAAGAAAATTTGAAGACCAATGTGATCTGAATATGTAAAAATTAAAACCGCGAACTTGACAAAGGATAATATATACAACGATTTGAGGGATCGGTTAGACTTAAATCTGTCAACGAAATATACCATGGAGTAATCAGCCCAACTACACCAATAGGTTCCTTGAGAATATAACCCTTAAAAGTATCCATCGGTAGAGAAAGAGGAGCCTTCTGCTTTGCATCCAAGCCTTCAGCTAGGTCAGCATAATATTCAAAACATCCAGCAACATCATCCTGCAAGGGTTACAAGCAACCACATATGACATTTGAATCACAGAATTGCCAAATGTTCACAAAAGAAAAGTGAGAATACCATGTCCCATGCTGCTTCATCTAGTGGTTTACCACAATCAATAGCCTCAAGATTAGCTAGTTCAGACTTCCTCTCTATTACCTGGATATTTCCATTATGTTATTGCCAGGAAAAACAGCTAACAGAGAATGAAACATGAGACGAACATAGATTTTATTAACTCATTGATAATACCTTAGCTGCAATAGCGCGCAAGTATTTGGCACGAACAGCACCAGTTGCTCTAGCCCAATCCTTTCCGTTGTTCCTAGAAAATGCTTTCCTAGCAGCTTCCACAGAGAGCTCCACATCTTCAGAAGTTGCAGCTGGAATATAACCTAAAACCACCAATCATCACAGTTTAAGAAACTTAAAAACACTACAAAGAACTCACTCCTCAGCACAATAGGAGATCCAATCATTCAACTACACATTTATCTCCTGCTATATAACTTCACAGATCTAACGCAAAAACAACTTCCGATCCAGTTCATAGACAAGAAAAACCGAAGCTAGCTAAGGATTAACCAACATCACAGAAGAAATCACGATCGTCTCAAACAGACAAAAGTTCAAAGCTCTCTGAATTCGTGAACTAAGTATACAGAAAATCGGGAAATGCGTAGCTCCGATATCGATGGATTGAATCAAAACTCGCAAAATCGATTGATCCAGTTCAAAAGGTGAGCAAAACATGAAAGGAAAAGTACCGATGATATCTTCGGTGGCGGGATTGACAACAGGGAGAGTTTTACGGCGAACGGGCTCAGTCCACTGACCGCCGATGAAGAGTTGCCGTCTCGGCACCGTAATCGCCATACTATCTCTCTGCTACTAGAGGTGGTGAAAGAAGTAAATGGGATTGTTGGACTTTCCTTTTTGGTTCTAAATGATAATCTGACACATTTTCTTTTAGTTTCATAGCTGCTATATAAAATGGTTTATTTGATAAAATTGATTGATAAAATTTTTAATACATTTATTTTGTCAAGATAGGAAATTTAATTAATGGATAGTTTTTTAACTTTTTTATTTTTAATTTGTAACTATTTACTTCAATTTTTCCGCCTTAATGTTTTTCCATTTGTATATATAAAATTTTATTTTCAGTGAGATATTTTATTGATTAATGAGTAATTTATGTCAATATTGATTTGATTATATATTTTTGAAAATAAAATGATAGAAAAATTATTTACACCACAAATGAGGATGATTTTTTTGATTGTTAAGAGGTTAACTAAATCGCGATATGTGGATACAAACACATTGTTCAAAATCGCTCCATCGAAGACCGAAAACAATGTTGAAGAATTTTGGTTGTTCCTTAATCTCTCATGGTATGTGACTGTGTATTTAGCGGTAGATGATTAGTATGATCACCATTCATCCTTTGCGAGGCTGTGTTTTTTTTTCTTGTAAATACTATTTAATCAAAACATTCAACAAAATTGTAGATTTTTTTGCTAAACAGGCTTCACTTAGAATCATCAAAGAATCTGGACTCGATTCTAATTCTTCATCATAGTTTAATATTCTGAACAAGATCAAACTATCCAGATTTATTTTCATTTGAGTTTTCGAAATTTTTATGAAACTAAATAAAAAAATTTGTAAAATTATTCACAACCCACCCCATTTCCACGGAACAATAAACCAAGCCAAATCATTATTTTCAAAAGTCTTTAATATCTCCGATCATTAAGAATCAAGACAGATTTTATAGTTTACAAAAAGAAGAAGAAGACAAATATGTAGAATCCAAAAACAAAGATACGAATCAATTCTTAGTGGTGGTCTTGTTGTACTTGTCTTTAACCCAATTAAGTCCCAGGGACGTTCCTATTTTCACCTTCTTTAAACCGGAACTCGCCGCCGCTTTCGTCTTCCCTAATCCAACCCCCACTTTTTCTTTATATTTCGCCGAAGTGCCACGACCGCCGTCTCCGCCATCATTCGGTTTTCCCGACGCTTGATTCTTGTCCCACTGATCGGCCCAAGAATTTCTCTCCATTCTGTATGAGAAAGAGAAAGATTTGATTAGGCAAGAAAAATGTATTAATTCAATCAAATCGTGATTAATATGAGAAAGTCACGTATCTTATAGGGTTTGGTGGGGTAGATTAGAGAAGATTATGTATCTTATATTTTTATATTACTAAACAAAATTAAAGCTATTATTTTGATTATTGACTACGTTTCATAAATATTGGTGGGGTGTAAATTAATGATAAAATTGAGTAGCTAGATATTTGTGTTATGTTTATTCTGGATTACGTGTATGTGTGTAATGATTTTTCCTAATTGTCATTACGAAATAGTCTTTTTTGATACATTAGGTATTTAATTAATGCAAATCTTGTGCTTATCTTTTGATATTTGACTTTGTGAGTCTCTATTCCTCTTTAATATTGACTTCTTCTCCAAATGCAGTATATAGTACTTTTTTTTACAAATTTGTTTCCTGATTAACAAAAACCAAACTTTATCTACACGTCACCAATTAGGTAGATTAAAACTTGGGTAAAAAACTGTCTGTGGGCCTGCCTCATCAAACATCCCATATTGGGTCAATAATTATGACTTTATCACATATTTGACCTAGCTAATTCATGGGTTTGAATTTGATACTCCCTCCGTTTTCGAATAATTGTCGTTTTAGAGTTTTTTTTTTGTTTTAAATTAGTTGTCGTTTTAAAGTAATAATGTAATTTATGCCAATAACTACCCAAATTACCCTCATTTTATTGAACACAAATTATTTGTAAATAATTACTTGTTATTTTTATGAGGTTAATATAGTCATTGTATACATTTTCTTAATTTGTCCAAATACAGTTAAAACGACAACTTTTCAAAAATAGAGGGAGTAGTTTATAATTACATCAATGGGTAGTTCTGTTAATCAGGCAAGCCCGATCTCTAGTTCGGTTCAAAATCTGCAAAGTCAACAATTTTTTACTCTGGTCCAATTTTGTTCGGCCTTATATTCTAAAACCCGGTTCGGTCTATACAGAGCAAATGTTCGGTTTATTGGAGTAGTATATATATATATATATTATATTTTTACATCTTTGGATCGACAAGGTCCGATCCATAGTCAATCTCTACTACGCGGGGTAACGCGATTTATGGAGTCGAACTCCGGTATATCTTTAAAACAATAATTTTCAAACATTCATCAATCAATATGTTTTTAACAAAGCTAACTATATTCAATTGCAAGAAAATTAAAGCGAACACATATTACATCTAAACTATTATACACAAGTAAGGATCATAGCACCCTTCCAAATTATTGAATTGAAAGATAAGAGAGATCACCGTAGAAAGGATCAATGTTTTTAATATAGTTATAATTAGGTAGATATCTAGAGAAAAATTAAGTAGGTTAATGTCAAGTGCAAATACTATTTTTTTTTTTAATAGATATGAGACATTTCATGCGCTTTAGTTTTAAATTTCTAATTTTTCGATGGTTGTGTTTGACTGCTTGTGCAATATGAAAAGATTCACTTTTGAAGTATTAGATTTTTGTTAGTTAATTATTTGGCTAGACAGGTCAAATTAACTGGTATAGACACTTAACAACTTTTTAGCACTCTTTTAAAAGGCACTATTGTCTAGAACAACTTTTCTAGGCACTCTTTTAAGGTACTATTATAAACACATATAATCAATAACCATTCATTTTAATCATCCAAACCTCCAAAATGTTAACTTCATAGTCAATACTCAATACCTTACTTTTTTTCTTCAAAATTTGATTCTCTTAAACCGGAACCCAAAATGAAACCTTATGGCCTATTACAAGAACAAAAATGCCTATTTGATGAATTGATTTTACCGGAAGCAAGCTGATTCTTTAAGCAAAACAGCAAGGAAGCACACAAGTTTGCCATCGCGCGCATACAGAGTAAATGGAATAATTTTATCGCTAAAAGTATTTACTGAATTGTTTTCAATAACATGCGTTATGTAGTTAGTTTGTGCTGAAATGGGGACAAATCAATGAAACTATCACAACAAATTTAGGTTAAATTCAAAAGGTGTGTGTTTTCTTTTTGCATGCAAACTTATGAGTAATGCTCAAAGACAAAAACAGAAATCTTATAGCTTTGATGCAGAGACAAAACCGACAAAAACACAGAGCGATAAATGATGTCTCGAATTTTTTTTACAATTGGTTAAAAATATATGTTCAAATATAGAACGAGAAAACTATTTGTAAATGCATTTATGTTCGTACACATTTCTTCGCCACCTAAGCCATCATAACTTTTTGGACTGTACCAATCGACACAATCATTTGTATATAAGGAACGATCTACCATATAGATCTATCTATTATGTATATATACAGATATGACATGTACATGTAACCTGCTTCATATTCATTTCATGAAACATCCACCACGGTTATCGTGTTTACACGCATCATTAGTGACAACGTAACTCTACGAATTGATTCAGCATACATCCATATATATCTTAATGAATCGTTGTTCATATATTCTAGTATATATAATAAAGTGTTACCTTATTAGATTTCATCGATCCAAGCAATAACATGATAATATTTTCCAAAATAAATAACCATCATGTATGGGATATAAATTCTTGAGTAGAATTCGGAAGAAGAACATATATAGGGATATATAGTGATCATACATGTAGATTCATAAATCTAAATCAGTCAAACCAAAACACCGATCGAAAAAAGAGATATGCGGAAGAAAGAAAAAAAGAAGCAAATAGAAATACAAAAGGTAGTCAAAAGAAAAAGAAACACAAAAAGAGAAAAAAGAGATAATAAAAACACACTTGATTTGGTGATTTTCAAGATGAAGATCGCTTTGAAGCAGCGAAGGATCGGACCGAGACGCTTGATTCCCCTTTTGGATCTCGTACGCACACGTGGATGAAGATACAAACATATGATGATGATGATGATCAAGAACCGATCTAAACGAAAAAGTAGAGAGAGATAAGGTAAACCCTAATCTTAAAATCTTGATGATGATGATAAGAATCAACTACTTCATCTTCTTTTTCTTGGGATTCTTGATCTTTGGTTTGTGTGTTGATGTCTTCTTCTTGGGTGTTGGGACTTGGAAGGTGAAGAGAAAGAAGAAGGAGAAGAAGACGACGAAGATGAACATGAATTATCATCATCACTATCATCATGATGATATTGGGAACTAAAGTGAAGGTAGAGAGAGAAGTGAGGTTGTAATGATGATGAGGGATGAAGAGAAGTCAGAGGTAGGGGAGGAAAATTATCATTACTACTTTGAACCAAATGTTTTCTAGCTTCTCTTTTTTTTTTCTTTTTTTTTTTTTCTTTTGTGGGCTTCGAAATATCCTAACCCTATCTTATGCCCTTGAGCCTTTCTCTCTCTAGATTTATGAGAAGAGAGATAGAGAGATAGAGAGACAGAAATGTCTTTTGTGCATAGGGGTAAAATAAAATTCAATTGCCTATCCAATGTTCCAAGAGGAAAAAGTAAAAGAAAGTTAGATAGCTATTTTTTTCTTTTTTACATATTCTCTAAGTTTTTTTTTTTGGATCTATCCAATACATATGTTTATTTATTATATATTTGATTAATTTCATGAAAAAAAAAACGATCAATAGGTCATTAACAATAGCATAATTTAAAGAAACAAGGGGTATATTTTTTGTTATTTCAAAAATTCACCAACTTTATGTAAACTGATAATTTTTTTTTGATAACCCAGTGTCCAGACCACACTGTGATCCGACTAGCTCACTAGGCATTAGCCCGCGTGCCTGGGATTTTTAAGCCTCCACTTAAGGGCCCCCTGGAACTGGTGGTCTGGGACGCTGCGCCCCGTAGGTAAATTGCGCAGTGGCCGGAACTCGAAGCCGGGTAGCGGGTGCCTCAGCCGAGGTTTCTTTGCCACCAGGAGACAAGCACCCGGTTAAAACTAAACTGATAATTTTGTTTTGCCATTTACGTACTACTATCTTGCAATCTTGGTTATAAATTATCATTACACCAGATTAACTAAAGTCAGGGCTGACCCGGAGAAAGAGAGGGCTCAAGCAATTTTTTTACTTTTTTGGATTTTATAAACAAATTGTAAAATTTGACACTAAAAACTTAAAATTTTAAAAAAAATGGGACCTATTTTTACAATAAAAATATTTTAAGGTTCTAATTTTGCATCAAAATTTTTAACGATTCCAAACAATTGTTTCATGTTGCAGTGCTCAGGGACGGCATGGCTAAAGTCTTAAAGATCAACTAGATTTTCATCACTAAATGCAAAAAAAATTTGTAGTCAAATATGCATAAATCAATGCGGATTACCGTTCGAGATTAACTTGATTTTCACCACCAAATGAAACATTGTTGAATTTTTATGATTTTAAGAAATGGAACTATTTTAACGAAAAAAAATTAGATATTAATGATTTAGTGGTGCGACGTTCAAGTGGTGAAAGAATTCCATGTGACTCACAAGATGTGAGTCCCAGCGGTAGGTAATAGATTCAAATCCCAATATTTTCATAACTCCAATTCGCTCTCTCCTTGACCACTGTATGTGTCTTATCCCAATACACACAACTCAACCAGTGTACTGTATCTGTATGACTGTATGTTATTTTTATTAAGTTCATTTAACTTAAAAAGTAACGAAAAAAAGTTAAAGGATGGATCAAACTTTTTGATCGATCGGGCTTATTCTAAAAGCACATGGATATTCTTTCCATATGCAAGAAATTATGTAGAATGTCCATTAACAACCTTTTTCGGTTCAATCTCAGTGCTTTATAATTATCCTACTTTTAATTGATTAATATCCACAATATTCTAAGTTAAAGGTTTCTTTCCACCAAACTTGACATGTCATAGAATTTCTAAGTTGTAATTACAAATACGCTAAATTGCCATTTATCAAATTGTAATAATCTCAAACAACAATGAATACGTTTACAATAATATGTACTTTTAAGCTCTGAACAAGTTGTTATAGTTGGCTCAACTCAAACTAGTTAATGGTTAATGAGTCTATTTTAATTAACATTCAATTACTTTAAATGTATTGATCAAAGTCATAGCTTGAGATATTGTCTAGAGTAGATCCGACTACAAATGTACACTTATCAACCAACTGCAACATCAATTTGGTGTGGAACCAGATTTAGCAAGGTATAGACGCTAATCTAAAAAACGATATCATTCCCGATTTAAAAAAATGAAGAAGTAAATTGTAGAAAAAATGTAATTCACTCAATACCACATTTTAGTATTTTTACCGATCCCACTCTAACTCTCACGATTTATTTTTATTTTAAAATTTATTAAATATATTTTGTCTTTCTAGTCAACTGAATTTACTGATGAAAGAAAAAGGCTGTTTGTGACTGTATTTGGGGGAGTAAATAGATTACTAAATTGCTACTAACAACATAAGCTTTATTGGGTTTAGGTAAAGAGGAGAATTTTGGCAGTCCATGTCTTGTACATATGCCATAAGTTATGTATATCCTTTTTTTGATATCAAATTTTTAAAATTAAGAGAGTCAGAGGACAATAATAAAAAAAAAAGTAAATGTCAGAGGAATCAAAATCATGAAACTCAGGAAAGGCAGTGCCTTGAAACCAGATAGATAGAGAGATATGAGTTTATTTTATTTTTTTGTCATCTGATGTTATTGATAATAACTTGAAAGGATACATGTGTTACAAAGCATAAGCCGGCGGAAAACAAGATTTCCCCAGAGTCTAAAGCCGGCGGAAGACAAGATTTCCCCGGAGTCTAAAGCCCTATGAAAGGGAAGCCATAGTCATAACTAAACTACAAGGCAAGATGGACATACACTAAGGATCAAAATGGATCAATGCTCTAAAACCGACCAGCTGAAACAGTAGACTTCACTTAACTTCCCATAGAACCTTTAGCGCCGAGCAGCCTCAAGGAGACCGGATGTGCCATATAACCGAAGTCAAACCAATAGCACGCCGACAAGAAGGAAAGCAGAGCCCACTGAAAACAGAGAAACAGAAACTGCCACCGTCGCGCCAAACCAGAACAGTCAAAGAGCTAGGAACAAGGAGACAACCCTTGAGATTCGACCTGAGATAAGTCAAAGAAGACAAACCACTCTAACACACGGACACTCGTCGACCTAGCTTCCGCCATCTACCGTCATGAAACTAGTGACGTCCTCGCAAGAGAAGAGCAGAAGGTCGAGTCCATTGCTTGGCCTGAAACCCATCAGACTACAACAAAGCAGCCAAGAGAAGGGGATAGTAGATGATCTCACAACGAAATACCATCCGAATGACAAACTCAAAATCAAAACCTAGCCCATAACCAAGAATCAGAAGATCCAACAGAGCAGAAGCGCAAAGGTCCAAACGCAAATCCCAAAAGCTAAATCCAAGGAATCAAGCCCAAACAACAACAACTACAAAAAACCAAAGAGAGATCTAGACTAGAGAAAACACGGAGGGAGTACTAATCAAGAAAAACAATTGATTAGAATAATCACTAAACTTTGATATGAGTTTCTATGTACAAACAACTCATAAATTGTTTCTATGTACAAACAATTGTTTCTATGTACAAACAATTGATATGAGTTGATATGAGTTTATCTTTCTGCCATTATCTTTCTGCCATTTTTAAAACATAAATAAGGTATATAGTACTACTATACTCCCTCCATTTCGTTGTAATTGTCGTTTAAGGTTTTTTCACACAAATTAAGAAAAACATTAATTTTTTTGTTTTACCCTTTATTAATATATCTTATAATTTTTTTCATTGGCCAAAACATTAAAACAATAGGGATAATACTGGAATTTTTACCAAACATTTGCATTGAAAACCTAAAACGACAACTATTACGAAACAAAATTTAAGTCCTAAATCAACAACTAAAACGAAACGGAGGGAGTACTAATCAAGAAAAACAATTGAGAAGAAGAATAAAAAGGAAAAAAACCAACTTATTATAAAGCAATGAGGTTTCTTGAAGTTGGGAATTTCCACCTCAAAAGTGCTAAAATGTCAGCGTTCTTATTAAACAAAGTTTAGTGATTATTCTATGTACAAACAATTTAATTTTAATTTATTGTATGCGCATGATAAAACTCTATTTATAATAATGAAACAAGAAAATTGCAACTTTTCTTGATCAGTGTAACGTTTGTTGTTTTAATATATATATATATATATATATATATATATATATATATATAATTTTTTTTTTAAAATTTATTTTTCTTATATAGATACTTGTAGTCTAAATAATTGAATTTAAATAACTAATATATTTTTTAAGTTGACACAAGAAGATATTCTACAATTTTAAAAATGGGGACACATTCACACTATGTCCTGAGTAATTATGACTCTATCGTAAAACGGAAAAATACTTTGGTTCATCTTTAGAAGTTAACCCTTTTATTCACCCCATTTATTTTAGCTAATCAGAATCTATCAACTAATAATAATAATAATAATAATAAAATTTCATTTAATTATAAAATCTAGTTAGCCACTAAAACGAAATTATGTATCGGTTTGGATTTATTAGAAAGGGTTAAAGTATAAATTTTATGATTAAACGAGGTTAAATATCGGTTTAGATTTATAAACGGGTTTAGATTTTACACTTAGACGAGGTTACATATCGGTTTGGGTTTAGAAAGTACGATTAGGGTTTAGATTTTTTATAATTAAACGAGTTTAAATATCGGTTTGGGTATACAAAAGAGGATTAAGGTTTAGATTTTGTTATTAAACGAGATTATATATCGGTTTGAGTTTATGAAAGAGTGGTTAGAGATTAGATTTAATAATTAAATGAGTTTAATTTTTTTATTACGTGGCAAATTATGCTTAGTAAAAATAAAAAGGGGTGAATAAAATGATTCATTAGGGGTGAACCCAAGAATTGCTCCCTAAAACGTGCAATTAGGCCTGGGCGTTCGGATATTCGGGTCGGGTTCGGGTCGGGTTTTTCGGGTTCGGGTTTAGAAAACTAAGATCCGTTCGAGTATTTTAAAACTTCGGGTTCGGGTCGGGTTCGGATCGGGTATTTCGGGTTCGGATTCGGGTTTACCCGAAGTATCTAAATAGTAGAAATTTTGTATCCGATTCTATGCAAAGTATTGAAAAATACTAAAAAAATCTATAAAACCCAAGTATTTTAACCCATATCTAACCCAAAGTAGCTAAAACATCCAAAAATATCTTAACATCCGAATAATTTAGGCACTTAGGTTATTACAAGTATAAATATTACTAATATATTATAACTATGTACTTATATTTTGGGTATGTTCGGGTACTTGTTCGGGTTCGAGTTCGGGTCGGGTTCGGGTTCGGGTTTTCGGGTTGTGAAGTTTAGAACCCGCTCGGGTATTTTAAAACTTCGGGTTCGGGTCGGATTTTTCGAGTTGGGTTCGGTTCGGTTCTTCGGGTTCGGGTATTATGCCCAAGCCTACGTGCAATCATAAGAAAAAAGAAAAAGCATTATGTGTGATGTGTCCAACAACTTCATAATTCATATCATATAAAAAAAGGAAAAAAGATGTTCAGCTACACCAAGTATAACGGAATACATGACTACACATGCCAAGTTTAGAAATGTACAACCAAGTACACGAACTAGATGTATTGCATGCCTACATATACCAACTATATGACGACATGTGGTCAACATCACGAACATCTTATTCTAGTATATTAATCATCGATGTTGACGATCGTTGACCGGCATTGACCGACAAAAACTTCACATCATATACATCAGAGTTCCACTCACCATGATGGGCTAAAGAAAAATGGTCAATACAGTGGGCTTACTTAGCCCAACGAAAAGATAATCGTTGGTAAAGTTAAGTAGGGCTTAAAAGTTTCAATGAGGCAACTCGACTAAAAATGGGCCAAATACATTTTCTTATTTGTGCCGAGAAGTACAGATTAACAAATGACATTTACAATTAATTTTTCTTTTAACACTAAAGAAAAAAATAAGGGAGACTCACAAAAATACCCCTTTTTCAATACCCCTTTTCAAAAATGCCCCCTTTGGATGTCCATTTTTAAAAATACCCCTTTTTATGTACAAAATGACTAAATTACCCTTCTTTTAATAAAAGATATCATAAATATATAAGGAAATATAACAAAATTAGGTCTACAAAATACAAAATATTTTTTGGCGGGAAAATTTTACAAGGTATTTTAAAGGTTTTTTACAGGGTATTTATAAAGTTTTACAATGTATTTTAAAAGGTTTTACAACGTATTTATAAAGTATTTATAAGATATTATAAGATTTTACAAGCTATTTTATAAAGTTTTACAAGTTTTTTATAAGGTTTTACAAGTTATAAATACCTTATAAAACTTTATAAGTACTTTGTAAAACCTTTTAAAATACATTGTAAAACCTTACAAAACACTTGTAAATACTCCGTAAAACCTTTAAAATACCTTGTAAATTTTTCCCGCCAAAAAAATTGCGGAATCACTTTTCCCGCAAAAAAAATTTTTTGGCGGTAAAATTTTTACGGGAAAATTTTACAAGGTATTTTAAAGGTTTTTACAAGTGTTTTGGCGGGAAAATTGCGGGATCACTTTTCCCGCCAAAAAATATTTTGTATTTTGTGGACCTAATTTTGTTTCAAATAAGGGTAAAATGGTCATTAAAAATTAAAAGAGGGCAAACTTAAAAATGAACTCTCAAAAGAGGCATTTTTGAAAAGGAGTATTGAAAAAGGGGTATTGAAAAATGGGCATTTTTAACAATTTCTCAAAAAATAATTCTCTGTTTGGCATATTCTTCTAGTAATTAGAATTAGTTTATGATAGAAAAAATAGAATTATGTGATGCGAGCAAAAATAAAAGAATGAATTATATGTGTTACAAAAGAACATAAAAATGTGAATTTAGTACATTTTTAATAGTCGATTGAATCCTTTCTCTTAGTTTAAATACATTTGAGTCAAAATTATCTTTTAAAATCTTAATTATAGTTGATAAAATTTTGACTTACACAAAATGATTTTACTAAAATTTGACCTGCAATAATTTTGTTTCCATACTATATGTATATTGAAAAGAAAGTAATTAATTTGACATTTATTTTTCATTAATTAATAATATAGAAAACAAACATATCAAATTAATTAGACTTTATGCTCTCTTTCTCTTCTCTTTTTTTTTTTTTGTTTTCCAACCACATAAAATTAAAAAACTATTTCTTGATTGGTAACCCAATATAGAGAGAGATATAATTAGCAAAAATATTAAATATCAAAAATTAAAAGTTTAAACCTCAATTTAGTGCTCACTTTCTCATTATATTTATTTTAAAAGCTAAAATGAATAAATGAAAGGAACAGATACCGTCTTTAATGGAGAAGAGAATCCAATCTAAATAAAATCCTCGTGTTTAACGGTGAGACTTTTCCGGTTTGCTGTTAAAATACGGTTATGGTATAAATTTCCGGTTTAAGCTGTATACCTCTCACTCTGATTCTGAAGTAATGTTCCAAGAGTAGTCAGTAATACGTAGAAAAGAATCTCTCACCGACGACGACGAAGACCGTAGAGTACATTTCTTAGACTTCTCTCTCTTCCTCACACCTCACTTACTCTCACTCTCACACAATTTCTATTGCGCTTCTCTACAGGAATCACTCACATTGTGAGAGAGAAGAACATTTGACTCAAGAAAATTCGGAAATTTCTTTTGTTTTGTCCTCTCAGGTAATTTTTGTTGTTTGTTAATTTCTTTTCCGTAGAAAAAGGTTTGATTTTTATCTTTTGATCAAAGGGTTTCGTTTTCCTGATTCGATTTATTTAGTTTTTTTTTTCTTGTAAAAATTTGATTTTTGTGTTGTTGGGGATGATTTGGTAATCAAAAATGAGTAAATGTAGTTTTGATGCAGAAAGATGGTTTCTTTGTTGTTTGTTTTTAGGTGCAGTGATGAAATTACAAAACCCAGATAAGAAAACCCTAAGAGAAGGCTTTAGTAAGGAATCTAGTGTAGTGGCTTTAGATTCTGGAGCTTTAGCTATGAGTGGTTTCAAATGCGATGGGAAATTTCCGGTGAAGGAGGTATTAATGGAAGAAGAAGACGAAGGTGGTGATAAAGTGAGGAAGATTGAAGTTTCTGGGGGAAATATATCACTTGTTGTTGATTTCAGTGGAACTAGGACTAGTTCTAACAATTTCTTTGAGTCTAATGGTAGTTGTGTGAATGAGAATCTGGTTAAAGGAAATGGGTGCAGAGAAGATGAAACTCAGGAGTTTCTTGTTGGGAATCTTGTGTGGGTGATGACTAAATACAAGAAATGGTGGCCAGGAGAAGTGGTTGATTTTAAAGCTGATGCAAAGGAGAGTTTTATGGTTAGATATATTGGTCAGAGCCATCTTGTTTCGTGGTTCGCACCTTTGAAGTTGAAGCCTTTCAAAGAGAGCTTTGAGCAAGTGTTGAATCAAAGAAACGATAAAGGGTTTTTTGATGCGGTAGAGAAAGCTATGTCATTGTTGAGAAACTCGTTGAAACTTGATATGACTTGTTCTTGCATTGCTGATGGGAATGGAATAGTGCCAGCACAAAATGTAACAACTCGGAAGAACAAGCCTTTGATACTGCGTGAATTCTCGGTAGATCGGTTGGAACCAAAAGAGTTTGTCACCCAGCTGAAGAATATTGCGAAATGTGTTTTGAATGCTGGGGTACTTGAGTCGACAGTTATGCAGAGTCGGTTATCGGCTTTTTATACTCTCTTTGGGCATAAGCAGATACCAATGGGCCAACTACATGAAAATGAGGGTAGGAAAAGTTTCACTGCGAAGATGAATGACAGTCAGTTCATTGGTTCTCCATCCATTGCTGCAGGTAATAGCAGGAAGAGGTTTCGGAAAGAATGGTTTAGGAAATTTGTAAGCGAGGTTGATAATGTATCTGCGAGAGACGATCTAGTAAATGTGCCTCCTTCTGATTTGATATCTAAACTAAAGCTGCTTGCTGTGGACTCCAATTGTTCAGAAGAGACTGAAAATATTGGTCTCTTTGAGTGGTTCTTCTCCAAATTCAGAATTTCTGTGTATCATGATGAAAATGCTTACAAGATGCAATTGGCTAACATGGCTGGTTTCAAGGATTTGATGTTAGCTACAAATGCAAATCGTGGTACTGTTCAGAAAACCTCAAAGTCAAAGAAAATAGGGAAGTCAAAGATTGAGCCTCTCAACAGTGTTTCAGTTGTTGATACTGAGCAGAAGACCTTCGAGTTGCAGATATCAGAGAAGTTAAAGATCGAATCCCTTAATGGTGTTTCAACTCCAAATATTGAGCACGAGGCCTCCAAGTCAAATAATTCATGGAAGACAAAGATCAATCATATCATTGGTCACTCAAATTTTTCTAATTCTGTTGCAAATGAGCAGTTGGGGATAGATTTTCAAGACAAACTGTTGGTACAAGCTCCAGACGGGAAAGCTACTACGGCAGATACACTCAACAGACCTGCTGTTACACTTGTACCGGACCTGAACAGCGGAGGCGATGCTTTGGGTACTGCAGAATTTGACCAGATGCAAAGACCTGAGACTTTAATTCAGCATAATGTCTGCCCACAAGAGGAGAAGACACCAAGATCTACGATGCTTAACTTTCAGGTGACAGCTCCGTGTTCAACCTACGGAGTCTCAGGAACTCAGTTTGTTTCTAGCCAGCCAACTTCGTTCAAACACTTCACGAGTGCAGACCTTTTCACTAGTTCAGGGAAGAAAAAGAGAGGAAGGAAGAGGAAGAATGCAGAAGAGCTTCCAATAGTTGCACAAGCCACTAGTGGGATACCTGACTTAAATGGAATAAATACAGAGCCAACTTTGGTTCTGCCTCAAGTTGAGCCTACTCAGCGCAGAAAACATCGGAAGAAAGAGGAGTCACCTAATGGATTAACCAGAGGAATCACAATTCTCTTCTTGAAATTTTCCTCCCAAGTGTCAATGCCTTCAAGGGACGACCTAACCTCAACATTCTCTGCGTTTGGCCCGTTGGATTCTTCCGAAACACACGTTTCAGAAGAATTTAGTGGTGCGCAAGTCGCCTTTGTGAGTAGTGCCGACGCGATAGAAGCAGTTAAAAGCTTAGAGAAAGCTAACCCATTTGGTGAAACCTTAGTGAATTTTAGGTTACAGCAGAAACTGATAACCGTTCAAAGGAACATTGCCCCCCGAAGGCCGGTAATCTCACATGTTAGTCCAATTCCGAAACCGAACAATATACCAACGAGTGTGGATTCAATGAGGCAGAATCTGTTGATGATGACAGCAATGCTGGAGAAATCCGGGGATAGTTTATCAAGAGAGACAAAGGCAAAACTGAAAAGCGAGATCACGGGGCTTCTGGAAAAGGTTAGTTCTATGCCGAGCTCTTCTTCTTCCTGAACAATCCCTAACATACATCAATGCGACCATCTCATGATTTCTAATGTACCATGTGTTGTAACTTATGTATCCCATCTTATGAATTGGGTTCTTGTGTTTTCAGTCTTTAGTTTGACTGTAGTTCTAGAATAAGATTAGATAAGAGAAGATGTCGGCAATATTCTAATAACATTTTCAGCTTTTTCCTTGATAGCTCGAAGCTCTCTAGTTTATAATCTCCACCCTTCAGGGGCAGTTCTTGCCTAGTTTAATATTTCCAACAAGATCTGAAGTATTTCCTTTGTACACATAAATGTTTACTTTAGTTTTCTCTTCATCTCTCTTTAGAATATGTTCCACATTGAAAGTAACTGAAAAGCTTGGGATCTTCTGTTTCTACTTGTTCACTTCTCAATCAAAGATAGTAATTAAAGTTGTATTCACATAGAATTATAACTACAAAAGTAGAAATGAAGACTAAGAAGCCACTCAATCACACGTACACAGTGATCACTCACCCTATACTTAGTCTCTGAATCAAGATTTCTCTTGGAGGTGCCTTTATAAGCTTCTTTCACAAACTTCTGGTGGCAAAAGAGATGGCGAAACTCCTTGATTAGCTCGAGTAGTCCATCTGTATTGATTTCTCTATCATTGAGCTTCTAAAGGATATAAAAGATCACAACTCAACAATGTAAGATGGCATTGTTCATGTAGTTTGAACTCTTTGCTCTTTTTCACAAAACGGCAAGAGACGAAGAGGGAAGAAACCGATTCACCTAAAAATCGATTTTGGTATCTGACCGGTTCAGCTCCTTCTTCAACTATCAAACCGGAAAATCTAACGGTTCGATTGGGGAAAATGAGTGAAACTGTAAACTGGCAATTAATGAGCCTTACTCATAATTTGGTTCGATTGGAGTATAATTACGAGAAGAGACTCTTAACGGTTCCATTGGGGCAAATTAGTGAAAGTTAAAAAATATAAGGGTGTATATACAAATTATTACAGTCGGTGAAATACCAGAGTCGCATCAATAAAAAACCCTGAACCCTTTTTCTCAGAAATTCAAAATCAGTTTCATCGGTGTTCACACTTGGGGTGCTTTTAACTCCACCACTCACTAACATTGCTGTGATTCTCGGATTTTGCTCTAGTTCGATTTCGCCATGGTTGCTTCGAGGGATGTTCATGAGATCGTCTCCAAGCTCTCGTCAGATAAAGCCAAGACTCGCGAAGTAAACTTTTCAGTTACCCCTTTTTATGGTTTTTGGGTTTTCTGGGAAAAAAAAGGATGAGAAATTGAGATTTTGGTGTATATATGTGGCTTGTTGCCTTGATTTCGTTGTGGGTTGTTGCAACGATGCTTTAGTGTTTCCGTATACTGCAATACGGCTCGATTTCTCTGATAATTTCGAGTGGGTTTGGTTTGAAAACGTTGAGATACTTATTGATTAAGACATGACCACTTGACCAGGATCCCCCAAAGCATTGACTAGAATCTAGAAAATTTATGAATTTTGTATATATTCCTGAGTAATGTTGTGCTACTAGGTTTTATTGTTGATCTATGTATAATTCCATTTCAATGTTTCTCATGTTGATGAATGTCTTACATAATCTGTATATCCAGGATGGTGTCAAGTTATTGAATACATGGCTCGAAGGGGAAAGGTCAAGCACCTTTTGTAGATTTCTTTCGCAAAACACTGCTAAGCTTAAGTTGGACGAGATTCCAAATGGTAGGTAGTGATGTTTCCTTCAGCAACGTTGATGCTACTATACAGTGCATCAAGCTTTGAAGTTAATCTAGAACGTTACTTTTCCTTGCAGCTGAAACGTGGCCCTTTTTGGTTAAACTTCTCCTTCAATGTGTCTCAATGGAGGTGTCAGGTAGTAAGCGACGGATGCCCAAGCCAACTTTTGCAAAGACGCTTCGTGTTGTTATTCAGAGAACAGAAGAAACTAAGTTTCCTGGTGAGATATATTTTTTGGTGAATTAGAAACATAGTAACATGCTTTTAAATTTTTCCTGGAATTACTTTGTGCTTGTAAAGACCTTCATGATGTCACTCGAAGAGCATAAGTATAAAGTCTCTTGGTCAGCAACTTTGTAATCTGATTTTGAATGTTTTCTGTAGTTACTATGTGCTAACGTCACCTCAAAAGAGGCATTCAGTTGTATCGACCAATTAATGGAACCGAAAAAGTGCTGTATGTTTTTTCATAGAAGACAATCTACAAAGAAACTGGAGTTAACATTGTTTGAAAATAGTTTTATGGAACTGGAATAAATTTGATGTTCATCTCACAGATATGTATCTTTTTGCTTACAATTTGATGGAGCATCTACTCTGATCAAAAGTTCAGCTTTTCCCGTGGTTATGTAACTACTCTGTTTTAATTCTCAGGTGTACAATTTCCTTTGCTATCTATGGCTAAGACCCTTTTTACACATGTACATGATATCTTGAGCAATACACCTAGCTTTCAGTCAGAGTATGGTACCATACTCCGCCATCTTTTGGAAATTAGGGAGTACCGTTTCCAAATGAGGAAGCGCACATATTCCAGTGAGTTCTCTTCAATTCTATATCTATTTATTGTCTTGTCTTGTCATGGATCTGGAGCGTATGGTGGTATGCTGGTGCTGTGTATTATTTTAATATAATGTTTCTGCAAGGTTTGGTGCTGCTATACATGGAAAGGGCTGAGGCAGGTTTTAGCGAGAAAAAAAGTGGTCAACATAGCCAGAAGGAGGAGGCATTTCGTTATATTCTTACGCTTCAGTCACTTCTAGAGAACTCCCCTGGTGATTTTCCTGATGACCTCCGAGAAGAAATTGTGAACGGCCTCATTCACATCTTCTCTTCTGTAAGGTCTGATTTTATTTGTTAGTCAGTCTCACTCAGATCTGTACCCTCCTTTACAAACAATACTAAAAGTTGGTATACTAATTTATTTTAATACTTCCAGAGATGAGGGAAAGCTTTCACGCAAGCTTATTGAATGTGTAAATACGTTCTTGCTGAAGGATGGTCCTAATTTAGGCTCTTTATCATTCGAAATTCATAATGCCGTTGAACAATTTGTGTTCCGTTGCTGGTTAACAACCCATGATAAAAACCTCAAGGTTTTTTTCCTTTTCTTTTTATGGTTAACTATGTGATTTTTTCCATAATACTGTTTCATGGTCTTACGTGTTTTTTTCTTCTTCTTGTTCTGGCTTGTAGGAGATACTTGTTTCTTATGGAAGGCTACAGTTAAATTTGACAAGGGGTTCTAGTGAATCTAGTTCTCTGGTGGAACAACTTTTGGACGTGGTTACTCGTGAATTGGATCTTGGTAGTTCATCAACTTCTGCATCATGGTACATCCTTTTTGAGTATTCTCTTCTGAGGGATGACTTCTTTAAATTCTACAAATCTCGTGAAGTTATAAGATTTATAATTGAAAAATTAATTTAGGGGTGATACAACAAAGGATGAAAAGTTAGGGGCATTGAACAGCTATCAGAATAGCTTGGTTGAGCTGGCTGCACATGTGTTCTACCGGGTACCTGTTTTAAATGCAAATTACTTTGTTCTTTGAGTAGCTTTACATGGCCAAACAGAGTCCAACTCAAGCGACTATTTTTTATTTATTTTCAGCAGTGTCTGGATTTCCTTTCATCTACCTTCACCCCCATTTTAATTGATTCAAATTATGATTTCTGAAGCATTTTTGCTCTGCAGAAGTTTGATCTGTATACTTTGAGAATATTTTTTCAACATAGTCAATTGAATCTCATCATAGACATGCATGTTTGCTCACGCCTTCTGTGCCCTTCTTTGAGAATATGTGTTTTTGTCCGTTTGTGTGTATATAGTGAATGTGTTAGAGAAATAGTGCTGACATTTAGAACTTTGGCAGGCATGTGTCAATACATCTAGACCATCAATGTCAGAGAAACGAGCTCGTAGGCAACATATTGCCATGCGTATGGTGGATGCACTAACTGAAGGAAAATGGCTATGGTATGATTCTAATCAGAACATTACTAGTGGATATCCAATCTGCTGATGTCTTCTTTGCGAAAGTTGTTTTCTAGATATATGTGTATCCATATCATAAGAATGCATTTGATGAGTGTACGCTGTTTGTTTGTTAATGACACGTAACTTTTTCCAATTCATAATGCTGGGGAATAAGTTTCACGGGCATAGCACATTCCCTTTTTAAGAAACATCTGTATTATTTCTGTCAGTCTAGATGCTGTCCTTGCACTAATTCTAATATCGCTGCTCCCTGTTTTCCCTAGAATTTTTATTAATATACAAAATATTTGGACTGAAGTACAAAAGCTTTACCCAGGTGTGCTGCTTTTGGTTGTCTAGTTCGGAATTATTGTGCTCGCATCAATATGGATCTCCTTATTTACTGGTTTGAAGCCATCTGCACAAACTTTCAGAGGTAATTTGGGAACTTAGACTTATTACATGGATCTTGTTTACTTAGTCTTGTAAATGACAGACTTCTGGAGGATGCCAGTATGAGACGTTCTTATGATGGTCTACTATGGACTTTGAGGTATGTTTATGATGCTAGTTCAGGTGTTTACTATTCTGAATTTGCAGCAATTTTCTTCATATATTTGCTAATATAAGTTGCTGTTGAGGTGTTTAATACAAAAAATATGTAAATTTATATGAGGTACTTAGGGATCTTTGTTAAATTCGCTGATCCTATATCTCAGTTAGTTTATTGTGAAAATTTTTTATATGAAGGAGTTTGCAAGGGCTCTCCTCTGGTTTGTTACTTCCAGATACTACTATGGACATATCGAAGTCACCTGCTTCCTCAAGTGAGGTACTTTACATGCCTTTTCTGCCTTTGTGTGTGTGAATCTGTTTCGCATATGATAGGTTTATTGGACAAATTTTGTTCACAGAAACATGCATTGGTGAGATTTAGAGCTGATTTGGTGTTGTTACTAAAATAAAATAATACTGAATCCCTTGATCATATCGTGGAGAAGTTGAGGAATTATATTGTCTCTATGTTTGCGTCTTGGCAAATGGTTTTGGTGTAAAATGAACTGAACATTAATAGCCCATCCACATATAGGGTTTTTCTTATGATGTTAAGCTAAGCTAGAATCAACTTAATGTTATATAAATTATGTGACCATTTTGAATAAAAATCAGGTTGGTATTAGGCTTTTGGATACATTACCTGATTGAGTTCTGGAAAAATCTTTTTGACTTTTGGTTTTATGATTGCTGAAATGGTTTTCATGCCCTATTCATATTCAGCTTTGTATTGGAATTCCTTATTTCGTTAATATGATATCTTATTATGAACCTAATTTGCTTTGTAGTTAGCTTTTGGTTTCTAAACCGTATTATTTGCAGCTAGATCGTGGTTGGCAATCGATCTGGACCTCTTTAATCCGTGGGCTAGCAACATTCAGCAGCATGAGTGTAATTGTACGTTGCACTTATCTACTTGCAATCTTTCTTGATTCACACAGTAAACAATTTGTTTAAAAACTGTTGCTTCTTATGGAAGAAACTAGAGAAAGTATTAAAAAAAAACCTGAACACTTGGTAGCAAATAAGGTTCCACCTATGACGTTTGAATTTGTATATAGGTACCAGCCAACTACTTGAACTTCAGATTTTTAATCTTTTTAACATATCTTTCGAACAATGAAAAAGCTTTCTTTGGGGATTTTTGTTTGATCAAACGTTAGTGGCTTATTTGTTCGAAGTTCCTTTCTAGTCATTTCCCGTCTAAGTGAGTTTCTTAGGTTAACTCTGTAATAATTTTAGGTAAAGAAAATACTTTGATGGGGACCAAGGTCAAGGGTTTCTTGGTGACCCAATACTATTTAAGGGTGGTTGGAAGTTCGTTTAGCTAAACAGTGTTCGGTTACTCGCTATGTTAAGTTAATTAGTAGCCACAAATGCACGCACGTATGGCTGATGCTACACTATTTAAATGCAGGTTGATGCTGTCTTGGTACTCCTTGGATCAATTATTTCAAGTGTGCGTTTGTAATTAATTTTTTATAGCTTTTTTTTTTAATTATATCCTCTTAATATTATTGCCTCTTCAATCAGAACCACATTAACGTTGGAATTCTGCCTCAAGAAGTGTGGGATCATCAATTATTCAGACACATACCCTCTGAGTAAGCCTTTCATCCTCAAAACTTAATAAGCCATGATGTTAAGCTATTCGTGAGGTGCACATAGGCTAGAGCCTCACTTTTCCTGGAAACAGAAATCAAATAAGTTTGTGTATATCTTATTGTTGTTTCTTTCCACGAGATTAATTTTTGTTTGACTATCTGGTTGGCTTTAATTAATAGATGCTGAATGGCTCTACTGTTATCTAAAGAATTATGACTTTTACTCAGGCCGGCCTTGTACTTCATTGCATGTTACTTTTCACGTCTGGGTTGCCAGGTAAGCAAGGTTCTCACTGTAATTGTATGGTTTTGGTACATTCTATGTGGACTATTTCTCAACCTTTGAAGTCTTGAAGAGTTGTTGCATCTTCATGGTCTTTATCACTGATGGATGAATTTGTGCAGGGAAACCTGCAAGATGATTTACATCTTCGACGAAATCTTCTTAGAGCAGTTTGTGCCCCTCTAAGCTGGAAGGTAGTTTTAATTTTTTCAGAAGTACAAAAGTATAATTGGCACATGGATCTCATTAATAATCATATTTTTGGTCTGATGCTCTTAGTCTCTTACATTCCATGGAGGAAGTATTGTCTTGGATCTGACCAAACAAAATCGCCTGAATTGTTTTACTCCATTATGTAGATTATCTGGCAGTGAAATTTCACCCTTTTATGTTATTTTCTGCCAACTAGTTGTTAAGAGCTGCTGCATTCTGTTTCCACCTGATTTTTGTGAAATTGAAAATCATAAGATATTGTTTGAAGTCTCATCAGGTTCACTGAGTGAAGTAAGCATTGTAGATTTCTTATAAGTCTCGAATGATGTGTACCTCATTGTACCAAACGATAATATTGGAAATCATACTTGTGGCTTTTACATATTTAGGTTCGTTTGACTCTAAATGGGAGAATGGTTCAGCTTCTACCAGCAGCTGCTTTTTCCCTATGTGCTGGGTTCAAGACTTCACTTCCATTACCTAAGGAACATCTTCCAACACCATCTGAATGGGATGTCTGTGAACAGGTGAGTGATGTGGTGAATGTGCTGGTTATGTTTGTTGATTGAGGATTGATAAATTTTCATCTTATGAAAGGATCAAGACTGTTACTGGAATTTGTTTTTGTTTCTTTTGCAGATAGATGATGTTGATCTAGAAAGAAATTTTGGACTCTTTGAATGCTCTGTGGAGGCTCTAACAAGAGTTTGCTCAAATTCTAGAAAGGTGGAGGATCCTTAATTTCTTTTTCGCCTTTTCCTGACCCATTTCTCTGCTGACAGTTTTTTTGTTTCCTTGTATTTCAGATCTCTGGTTGCCAAGTTCCTGACGTAGTACAACTACCTCTGGTATTAAGAGATCCATTGCTTCATGACATGGATATCTATTTTCTTAGCATTACTCCGGAGGTCAAGGAGAAAGGACCATTGTCTGACATCTTTATGGGATGTGCTCTGTTGTGTCATTTTATGCATGGTTCTTACATCGCAAGGTTTGTCAACTTGTCAACTTGTCAACTTGTGACTGAGTAATATTGTTATTGTCTTATTAGACTTTCTCTATCGAAATTGTTCACTCCTTTAGAATGTATATATAGTTTATAACAAGATTTTCATAGTTGTCTTGATAGACGGTGAGAACCACTTGTAGATGCGTCTTTGTTCTGTTTGTAGTGTAATCATGTTCTTTGCATGTAGCTGTCAGAGACAAAGTTGTGTTGTTTGTGAATTTTTTTTATTATTATTATTTTTCATTTTTCAGAGGTCTAAGACAAAAGTGATTGATGGTTGTGAATATGGCTCACCCTTGATGAACTAGCTTATATTGTATCTCTTTGAGTGAACTTTTCTTTCAGCCAACTGGATTTTCGTTTTCATTTCTCAGGAAGGGTAAAGGAAGCAGTTCGTTCTTCTTAATGGCATGCCAGTATTTGTTAGAAGGCCTGGATCATGCTGTTGAAGCAGTTTCAAAGAGCCTCAACGATCTTCAAAGGCTTGCTTCCCTAGGGTTTGGCTCAGATTTTAATGAGAAAGGTTCTATAATAGTTTCGTTGAGGTCCCTTACTCAATCTCCTGTCTTCAGCAACGGAAGAGACCAAAATCTTCTTGGCGCTAGTTATGATGCTGTAATTCATTCCTTAGAGAACCTTTTGCGGTCTTTTGCTAAAGTCTATGGAGAATATACTGAGCACGCATGGAATACACATTCAGACACTGTACCTTCTAAATCGTTTGCACTTGATTCCCCAGAAGTTGGCAGGATTGTGGATATGGATTTAGATTTAGCTGAAGACACTAAGGAGAGGGATATTATAACTGCCGGTGGAAAAGCTGTACCTGGCCTGCCCGTTTCTACGGGGAACTGGAAGTTGGGCATGGTATCGCTAATCTCATGTTTTTCTCCAGTACTTCAATTTCCTACATGGGATGTTCTATATAACTTATTGGAGAAGGAATCTGATCCTAAGGTATTTCAGCAATCTTTTTTATTATACCAATATCTCAAGCTTTTGTTGTGACCTTACCAACAAATTGCTTACATGTGCAGGTGCTGGAAAATATACTGTATCATCTATGCAAGCTTTCATGCTTGACTTCTATGCCGAAGGTTGATGATTTGGTATGAGTTTAAATTGTTGATTTAATTTGCTCTGAAATAATTTGAGAAAGAAAATAGAGGGTTTTTCATCAACATCTTAACCAAATTTCTTATGTTTATGGGTATTTGCTTCATTATTTTACTTTAAGGTTATTTTCTTGGATGGCATGCTTAGCACACAAGTAAAGATGAAGCGTAACTGTCTCAATATAGTCACTGCTCTGCATGTTTTACTTCATACTTTATCATCCTCGAGGATGGATTCTTCTGGAGTTGGAAAAAATTGTGGTTTGTCTTTGAAAGGAGAAAGTTTTCAGGTACTATCTCTCCTGTTTAAGCTAACTATTTGGTTCTTTCCCATGATCTGCTATATTCATTTCTCAGGTAATGTGCAGGTCTTTGTCCAACTTGGCGCAATGGTGAATAAAGTTTCTGAATTTGGTCTCTTGGGATGGTTTGGGCGTGTCAAGCTGATCAACTGTATATGTGATCTTGTCTTACTTAATCCTCAGACTGGTCAGGTGCGTACTTCTCATTTTATCACTCTTTCTTCAGACTTGATGAGCTGACATATGCAGTATTGATCTCCTCCTTATGATTTAGCTTCTCTTTGAACTGTTTTCATGAAACGAAAATGTTCCTGCCTTAAGGTTTCATGACTTTGTTTTCTTGTCAAAGTACCATTGGAGTTGAAAAATAACATTTCCTCTTACAGTTTGTTCAGATAAGACTATTTCTGTTGTTTGGAGATGAAAAATGGAAATATTTTCTTGCACTCATTACTTTTAGCGAAAATGTTCAAGTAATGAAGAAAACTTACAGTGTGTTTATAATAAACAAATCTTTTATCTTAGGACTAGATAAAAGTAAACAGGCAGTTTTCCTACCATTAGCGCTAGTAGTTTTCTTTTTGGAATCTCACATCAGCCGGTTACAGCTAAATATTCTACTTGATTCCTTGTGGAATTCTTATTTTATTTAGTCTCTTGTTGTACAGTGAATTGAGTTTGTGTTTTAATACAGACAATGATTGAGCGACTTTTGTTGATGCTAAATGACTCTGATTATCGAGTGAGGTTTGTCCTGGCAAGACAAATTGGGATTTTATTCCAGACGTGGGATGGCCATGAGGCATTATTCCAAGATATTTGGTAAGTTTGGTTATTCAAAGTTATTATCATGTGGCTTTTTTCAGTAGGGTGTTTTCCTAGTAAGACAAAGTGTTATATACTCGTTTATACAGATCTTGTGGCTTACCAAAAAAGAAAATAAGAGAAAGAGGCTGATCTTTCTATTTGTTGTGGGATTTTCTAGTAGGGTGTTGTCATAGTAAGACAAACTGTTATATACTCATTTCTACAGATTCTTGTGGTTTACCGAAAAAAAAAAAAAAAAGAGTCTGTATTCTGTCTTTGTTGTGAGCATAGAGTATTATTTTGGTAAACACAAGGCATGTTCTAGTAAATTTAGTCATCTTTCCTGAAAACCTATTCAAAATTCTGATACATTGTTCTTTATTGATTGTGGGTCTTATGACGAGCATCATTTTGTAAGATCAGATGCTTCACAGCGCTTGTTATTCTTTGAAATCTTACCTTGCATTTGGTCCTTGTAGTACCACATTAGTATTTAATATTTTATTTTTTCTCTGTTTTCAGAATTTATTGTCAGATTGATGTACATCATTAGTTGTAAACTTTTCCCATTTCCTTTTCCAGTTCCAGCTTTGGTATTACATTAGTAACCTCCTCAAAGGAGAAACTAGTTACCGCAAAGGATGTTTTGGCTGCTGGTCCTCAGCCTCGCCAAAAAATGGAGACTGTCATCATTACTCTTATGCACCTTGCTTATCACAGTGAGAACATAGAGTTGCAAGTAATATTTTTCATTCATTTTGTTTTGAGTTCCTAGGATCATTTTGAGTATACAATAAGCTAAGCTTGTGTTAACATCGTATTCCAAACTGGGAGAAACGCAGGCTGTTTTTATGATGTGCGCTGTTTCAGCTATAGATCCCTGTCAGAGGTATTTCTTGCTAGTAATTGTTACTGTATTTTGTATTAGCTGAAACTCTCTTTTACTTATCTTGCCTTCTTCCTACTAGGGAATTAATCATTGCCGCACTTGACAATCTATCAGCACAACTCCATTACCCATCTAGGTTCAAGGTGTTATTGCTGATTCTTGCTTTTTTTGTCTTCCACAACTGCATGATAAATGTTCTTCTTGTTTTTACATTTCTAAATATCAGCAGACTTACTAGATATTACATCTGCTACCTGCTGACATCATCTACATCTCTTTTTAAACTGGTTTGTGCAGTATCTGGAAGAACTCTTGGGCCCGATTCTTTTTTTCTGGATTGCATGTGGTGTCAGTTTAGCTGGTCTTATTGAGGTATGCCGCAAGTTGATATTTTCTGTTTCATAGATCAAGCAATTCTTTTCTGTGATGGTTATATTACATTTTCACGAAGTTATTCATGTGCACTTTGTTTGTTGGAGTTTCATTTGTTTTATATTTCAACTTCAAACTTGTATTACAGTAAAGTAGATTCAATATTTTTTTTTTGTTTCTCTTGCACATGGGTCTACAATATGAAGATAGTGCACAGTTTGATTACAAAATTAGAGTAATTTACCAGTGAAAGAATGAAATATCGACATGTGCTTTTGGATATCTAGCAAATATGTCCTAAGTGGCATTTTGAAGAATGGAATGAGTACCTTTTAGCATTTTATATCATCTGGTGGTTGCTTTGTTGCAGACAAGTCAGCTGTTCATTCCAAACGCTGAACCGAAATATTTCATCCACTTTTGTTCCCACTGGCTGCTTCCAGCTCTTCTATTGCATGAAGATCATACTAACCTTGACTGGGTAGCTAAGGTAAGGCTGCTTCCTTACATCTTTTATGGACATAATTGAACGTTTTGGAAACTCCAATCTCAGTTTATGGAGATGCTCATAGGAATTTTTAATGAGATTTATAAAATGAACAAACTTTTGGTTGCTTATTTTTTTGTATGGGCAATTAAGATGGTCAGCGATTTGAGCTTTTCCGATCTCTATTTCACTGTCTGTCTACAATTTGCAGATGGCTGCCCAACCTGTGGTTGTTTTGGTCAAAGAAAATTTTGTGCCAATATTTTCGATATGTATGGGATTGCACTGTAGTAAAACGTCAGAATGCGATAAAGGTGCAATGGTGCTTCAGAATTCAATATTGTATGTAGGTGAGATCAGCGAGAGTGAGAGGGACAAGCTGATTAAACAGAATATGGTATGATACCTTGTAACATTTGACTCATGATTCCAGCAACCTGTCTTTGATGTTTGTGGTGGACAATATCCATGCTAGTCTGATCCGCTAGTCCGAATTTACCAAACGTTGGAAATTTTCATTTCATTTTCTCGGAGATCATTATTTCAAAAATATAATATATATTTTGATCATAACGTATTGAATATCTAATGGGCACCTTGTTTTGTTTTCAGGTTTCTATTGTTAGTTTTATTTTATCATGCGCTTCGTCTTCACCAGAACCTCCAGTTCCTGCTTTTTCTCGTGACACTATTTCACTTGCAGTTCAAACAGTTGTGGATGGTTTTCTGGAAACGTAAAAATTTCTTGCTCACTCAATGTAGACTTTTTGTTTTAGTTTTTCCTTTTATAAGGTCTTACTTGTTTTATGCAGCACTGATTATCCTAAGAATGCGGCCATCACTGACAGGATAAACATTTTTCGCCCGGATAGAGTGTTCATGGTAAAATTTTAATTTGCCGAAGTTTTCATGAGATCACACTGTTCTTGTCAATTTGATACTTTAGTCACAATATTTTTGTTGTTGTTTCGCAGTTCATTACAGAAATGCACTATAGAATGTCAGCTGCATGCCATCATCGGCATACGCGTCATCATTTGGCCGCTCTTGAAGAGCTTACAATTCTTCTTGGTCATAGAGCGTCAGTTCCAAGTTCCTTAAAGTGAGCAGAATTCTCGATTTATCTATTTAATCTTATTTGTTCTGCTAATAAACATGAGTTTCATCTGTAAATTAAAATTTCAGTGGCATTGAAGGGTTAATCTCTATTTTTCGAGCTTTTAAAAACTACTTTTATATTTAATTGTGGTCTCTTTCAGTTACATATTCAATCTTGTTGGACAATTTATCGGCTATCCCTCACTACAAGACCAGTGTTGTAGTATAGCGTCCTGTTTACTGGATTTGTTCAAAAGCAATCCGGCCAAAGAAATTGTTAGTGTACTAGGTGACCAACTCCAGGTAAGTGTTACTTAATGTTATTATTTGGGTTCACTTTTGAAATACCAAGGGTTTTATTACTCATATAAAAAAAGGGCTTACTTTTCTCTATCTGCTGGTTTTTTAGTTTTTGGTCTCAAAGCTGGTTACATGCTGCATTGATGCTGAAGCAGATACCAAAATTTCTGGTTCTAAGTCATTGCAACTCGTTAATTTGCTACACAAGCTAGTTGTTAGTTCAGATTCTTCTCTTGATGAAGATATCAGAGTAGGCGTCCTACGTTTAAAGTTGCCTTCCTTTTGTCATACCAGTGCCAGGAATAATAGAGAACTATATATGTTCTGATTTGTTCATCTATTTCAGGATTTGGAACCCCTCCCGGATTTAAAAATTTTCCAAGTCATTCGTGAATCACACATCAGGATATGCGAAGCATATTCTCCGAGGAATCATCTGTTGAAGGTCGAGCACTCTACATTTTTAATTTACATTTTTCTTGAAATTTTATCACTATCCAACTTTTTGTTTTTTCCTGTTCCACTATCCAACAGTGTGCTCGAAGATCTTGTTATCTTCCACCAAGATTCCTTTCCAGGAGGTTTCAATTCTATCTTCCTGAGTTAAATCATCCTAAGATATGCATTAAGGTTATCCTTTGTGGCATGATTTGCATTGGATATTAGCTGTAGAATTAAGATTACGTATATGGTTCCTATTATTTTACTTTGGAAGACTGTAGCTGTTCTAATTACACAAAGCATCTACGGTCAAGGGAGTAAAAACTTCTCACTTCTTGTAAATTCATTTCTGGTTATTATTATTTCTTATGTGGGTTAATCTGCTCGATATCTGAGCTACTTTGTTTCATTGTCCGTGGACTATCTAGTTTGTGCTCATGGGTGAAATGTTTGAGTTCTGTGTCTGTTTTACAAGTTACAGGGAGTGTTTGTCTTTCAATTTTATCAGTATGGCTTTTACCTTTATAGAACCAAAACTGAAATCATTATCCCAAAACATGGCTAATGAAGTTTTTTTCTAGAGCCTAGTAGCCTACTACCCTTTAGCCCTCTACTCTTATCACATCGCTGCAATTTTATCAACGTATTATGCCCTTTGCAGTCTCCAAGCACTGCATAACAAGCTCATAGCTTCTGAAGTTTCTCAAGAAGACACAAATGGAGAAACTGCAGAAACATTTTGGCAGTCTGATGATGAAATTGTAAATGCTGTTTGGACTCTTGTCCGAGTGTCTGCCTCTGATGAAGCAGATAGTATGAGACTTTTGGCGTCTGATTTTCTTTCCAGGGTAACTGTCATTCTCTTGTGGTCAGTATCTCTTGCAATTTGAATATATGGTCTTATTTTCTCTTATTTTAATGTAGGTTGGTATTAGGGACCCCCACACTGTTGTTTTCCATCTTCCTGGGAAGTTAATCTCCATGCATGATCTTCAAGTTTTTGGCCATAATACTGGAACAAAAGTCAGATCTTTGACTGAGAACGGCATATCCGATGACACCCTTATCACACTGCTAAATTTTTTGAAGAAGTATCTTTTGGATGACTCTGTAAAGATTATTGATGTAACATCACAAACCCTTCGGGTCAGTTTTCCAACTTTCTTACCTTTATTCCCTGTTGAATGTCTGATCTATTGATAATTTAATAATCTACTATCATGCACATGAAAGTTATGAATCTTTCTGTCTTATTAGTCATTATATTTTAGTCAAAAGATGTGTAATCCCCTTCCCCAGTTGTCATGCATTTTAGGGGTTGTACTTCATTTCAAAGATTTATTCTGTAATATCTTGTCTCCTGTTTGGAAAGGCTAATTGTTTTGCAAGTATTGCTTTAATATTTTATTTAAGCGATATAGATGTCCCTCTCCTTATTTTAGGGAATTCTTTCAACCGAAAGGGGCCAGCAAGCATTATCATCTTTTGATTCATGTGAGAGATCTTCAATTGAGGTGAGCTTCTTTTCTGCATTAGATTTCTGGTCTTATGCTACTTTTAATGGGTTGATATTTCTGTGATAATTCGTATAATGGAGAATTGTTCCCATGGGCAGGCATTGTTTTTATCAGTAGAATGTTGATGTCTAAGGGTATTTTAAGATACGGGTCTTTCAGAAAGTTGTGCAAATTGATTTCAAGAATCATATTGTGATATTTATGAATATATAAATAGTCAGTGACTACATTCAATTCTTGATAGGGTATCCTAAGTTCAAAACTACTCTGCCTGTTCAGATAATGTTTTTTTTTGGGTAGGTGCATGGTAGGGGCGTGAACCTTGACATTGTGGAAAAGATCTTATTGGATAGCCAAAAGCAGTTCAAAGGTAATTTAATTATTCCATGAACCTTAACATTGTGGCAAAGATCTTACTAAACAGAATCTCTGTCTAGGAATCTCATGGTTCGAGTTACTAACCCACCTCATAGATTTCTTTATAATGTATTTCTGTATTACGGCTGTCATTTATCATTATTGACCATCTAATTCTTGATGCAACCTAAAACAAAAAAATGGAGGATACTGATGAAGTCATCAAGGCATATGAAATCTTTTTGGCTTTTGGTTGCAATCGTAAAAGTTGTCTTGATTGATTTTCAGACTAGACATGCCTGGGATTATTACAGATTTCAGTTAACGTAGATAAGTATCTCTATTACATTGTGCACATGACATGTCCATGTCTGTTTAAGCATATTTCATTCGTGTTTCATTCTTCCTCTTTTTTAAATTACTCAAGAATGGTTCATTTTGGGTCCCCAGCTGAGAACTTTTCACTGGAGACGCCTGAAGTGTGGTCCACAGATAATAAAACCTTTGATAGATGGATTTGTCAGCTAGTGTACTGTATGATCGCTTTATGTGAGGATGTCCCAATAAGGTATCTGTTTGGTTCCAGTTTACCAGAGTTATACATTTAAAAGTATTCAAGTAAAATCTTGCACTGAGTGGATCATTGTTGCTGCTTTGTTTGACAGGTTATGCCAGAACATAGCATTGCTGAAAGCTGAAATATCTGAACTTCTATTCCCTAGTGTTATTGTTAGTCTTGCGGGACGAATAGGGACGGATATAAATTTACATGACTTGATTACGTCACAGGTATCTCTTATATTTTTTGGATATATCAATAGTGCTTCTTTTTCCTACTTGCTTGCATTGTTTCTTCTCTGGATATCTGTGTTTGTTGAGTCAAATCTACTTCTCTTGTGTTCCCTTTGCTTACTTTAATGTTGCCATCTTGACCTCATCTTGACTTTTGCGTACAATCGAAATAAAAACTATTATAGAAGTATGGTTGTTGTTTTTGTTGATGAGCTAAGCATTATACTCATCATGTGCTAATTCTAGCTGTATACTGTTAAGGTAAATCCTCTAGCCTGGTGGCTGCGTCATGATTTTCCTTTAAGGTGTGTATATTGCAGAAACAGATAATTTAGTGGTCACTTTGGCTAAAGCTTGTGATCCCCATTGGCAGGTGAAAGAGCATATCTTCATTGATTCAAACAAGCTAACAAAATCGAAGCAAATTATGTTAAATACCCTGAATGAGCTGCGGATGTGTTATGTCCTCGAAAGATCGATTTTTTCTGGGCAAACTAAGAGAGAAAAGGTTAGGGTATTGATTTCAGCACTGACCTGTTTGCTGTTATGTTTTTAAGTAGTTAGAAAAATTGTTATCCTGCATATCAATAACAGAGAAAGTTATGCTATTCATGTGAGTGTATAAGGACATTCTCCTATTCTATTTTCTTTACAGTGAAATCTGTATCATATGGGAGATGACCAAAACTAACGTGTGGAATGCTCTTGCAGAATTCAAGATCTTGTTCCACAGCTGCTAAGATTAGAGATGTGGAAACTGCACCAAATGGAATGGCAGCATCCAAAACTACTAATTGGGAGAAGGTGCATATTAGCTTCAATTACCATATGCATTGTTAGGACGATGATCATTTCATGTGTCTGGTGTTACCATAAATCTTCTTCTCAAAGTGTTTTTGGCTTCCTGCTAAAATTGTAACTATGTTTTGTAGGATTTGCAAATATGTTTTATAGGTGTGATAGGTGATAGGTGTCACACCTTTAGTTTTGTTGATTATTATATGCCTCGTTATATTTTGTGTTTACGTCATATATGATGAATTGAGTAGTTTCAAATGGTCAACTATGAGGTTTAGTAATTTAATTTTATAGTAAAAGTGTAAAACGATGCTAAACGAATTTATTGATGTCAGTTTTGTGCTACTTCTATGATTAAAGCCATTTAATGTTGATGCTTTAATTCATTTAGTTCTCTATTCAGTTACACCTCTTATTTCTTTTAATATCTTCATAATACAGAATGACTTTTGTTGATCAGGTTTATTGGCTTTCCATTGATTATCTTGTTGTTGCCAGATCAGCAGTAGTGAGTTACCCCTTTCCGTTTAAATCATTACCAATTTAAGATAGAGGCTCTAAAGTTATTTGCAGTATATAACCCTTCTCGCTTTCCCAGGTTTGTGGTGCATATTTGACCGCCTCCATGTATGTGGAGTATTGGTGTGAGGAGAAATTTGGCAATCTAAGCCTTGGAGATCCTGATTTTTCTTATCATGATAAGGTACTAACAAGGAATGCATGTTATCCGTTCCTCTATGGTTTCCATCTTTTAACCAGCTAACTCATTATGCTTATTGATTAATGAGTAGTAACTTTATCGTCATCTATGAAACTTTCACTGGGTGCACTTTTACAAAATTGCAAACTCTGTGGTCTCCATGTAAAAAAGGGATTGGTAATAAGAGTTTATTTGGTTTCATGCAGCAGAGAAAGTGGTTTTGTTTGTGCCGATTTCTAATCATTCCTTTTCTTTGTGGTTAACAGTTACCGGATCATGTTGAGATACTTGTGTCTGCAATAACAAGAATAAACGAGCCTGACAGCTTATATGGGGTTATACATTCAAATAAGGTTCGTTCTGATACTTAAATTCTGTCCTACAGAGTACATATTATATATCTCATCCACACACTTGGAACTCTTGCCTATTGGAAATGGTTACTAGTCTGTATTTTCCTGAACGTGTTAACATTAACCCTTTTGTTACCTACTCTAGGAATGTTTTGAGACATCTCCCGTTTCATTTGATTGCCAAAATATATTTTTGGTACTGAACAGTAAAAAATGAAGTAGCTAAATCATATTGCAGTAAACTTTTTTAATTTTTTACTGGTTTCTTATATGTGAATAATACTTTTTGTTTCTGTTACATGGATGCAATCTGAAAGTTGTCTGCTCAAATAATCACATTCGAGCATGAGGGAAACTGGACTAGGGCACTTGAGTATTATGACTTGCAAGCACGTTCACAGAAACTGGTGGTGCCGGGTAGCCTTTCTGAAAATCTAGAGGTGGAACAATTTCAGCCAAAAACTAGTACATGGAATTCTGTTTTTGGTGAAGGGGAGGTCCAGAGACAACCGTTCAAAGGACTCATTAGGTCGTTGCAGCAGACAGGCTGTATGCATGTCCTGGATTTGTATTGCCGAGGCTTAACTTCCCGAGAAGGATGCTTTCAGTATGATCCAGAGTTCATCGAATTGCAGGTATGCATCCTACTATCTCCTTTTTCCAATACATGGAAGTCTCATGTCTAAATAAGGTTGTTGGTTAACACATAAATATTCCATGGGATAAAGAAAAGATATGATGACTTAAAGATCTTGAAGGAGTAGCTTAGCAACAATATTTACCAGATAGTAGTTTTCTTCGTTGCAACATTGACCCAAATTCTGCGTTAACAAATAACTAATCGAACAAGCTCAGCTGTGGTACGTAAGTTGTGTTACTTAGGTGATAATTCAGCTGCAAATCGACTTCTTGCTTGCAGTATGAGGCTGCATGGCGTGCAGGAAAATGGGATTTTTCTTTACTTTATCCGCAAACTCACTGCCAACCTCTGCAACATGCAAAGAACAATAATTATCATGAAAGTTTGCACTGGTAACACATTTCTACTCTTTTTTTACCAATGATGATATTCTTAGCCATTAGATATCTTTCCCTGTCTGTATCTCGGGATTGCACCAAATATGACATCTTATCAACACTGAATTTGCCGCTGGTCTTAAGAATTTTATTTAAAAGGAATGATATGTTACAGAGGAATTTAAGAATAGAGTATTGAAGTCTCCAAAAATTCCTGGTATCTGGCTTTGTTTCTTGGGTCATGTTTTAGTATCAATGGTCAGTTGTGATGAAGTCCTATTTAGCTTTGAAAAGTCATCAATATTATGCATGAGAGTCACTAGCTCCCACCTTAGGCGTGTCTTTCTCGATGTTTTAACATGTTTATTTCTCAGTTGTTTGAGAGCATTGCAAGAAGGGGATTACGATGGGTTTTATGGAAAACTGAAGGATACTAAGAAGGTAATGCATGATTTCAGTTGATCACCTTAGGATTAGAAGGTTGCAGGCTTCTATGTGGTAAGAATATTTTCTTTCTCTCCTTTTCAGGAGCTTGTGTTGTCCATTTCCCGTGCAAGTGAAGAAAGCACTGAATTTATATACTCAACAGTAGTGAAACTTCAGGTATGGAATTATAAATTGACATTAAAGTACAACACCTTTTTCCATCATACTTGTCATTTGGTTGCAAAATTAAAATTCTACTCATTATTTGTTCATGTCTCTCATGTGATAATGGTCTTACTCTTGTCACAAACCTCCTTTAAAAGTTTAGCACACTCTGGGAGTGCCATACTTAAGGTCATCTTGATCTTAATTAGCCAATTACTCAGCAAGAGCTGTCAAGTTTAACTTATCCAGTTGTCGCAAGTTCAAAACTTAACTATGTGGAGATGTTCACCTTTTTTAAAAAGACTTTTCCATCTATTTCCTCACAAAACTATATCCCATAAACTAAAGACTTTCATGTGTGAACTTTCAAGCTGGGGAATTTATGAATGCAAGCTGCATGTTCATTAAGATCCAAGGAAATTTGCTGATGCTAAAGATTCCATGTCTCTTTGGAAAAACAATGGTTTTGACTTTTCCCATTTTTTGATTTTTGATGTTTTATCATGCCTAGATTCTTCATCATCTTGGACTAGTTTGGGATCTTCGCTGGACGACATCTTCACATCAAAGTGTGCATGGCTATCCAGTCAAACAAATGGCATGCGTAGACCCCATGACTCCAACAATGAATCAGGTATTTTCCTTGTAACTTTGTTTTCAAGTGGGTTTTCACTAGCTTCTAGTGAATGATTGAAAGTTTCAAGAATTTTTGTTATTAATATAGTAAGTCATAAGTTGGCAAAATACCAAGGCTATTTAGGATCTTTCATTTAGAATTATATATTAGTCTTGGGAGTGCACATATATGCTCAAACTACCTAGAAGCTAAGTGAGATAATCTTGTTTTCTGAGGCCAAGTTTAATTATGAAATACAGTTGTCTTGGCTGAATAAGGATTGGAACTCTATTATTACGCAAACTCAGTTGCACATGAATTTGTTGGAGCCATTTATCGCATTTAGGCGAGTTCTTCTCCAAATCTTGGGATGTGAGGAATGTACCATGCAACATCTTTTGCAGTCTGCTTCATTACTTCGCAAGGTATATATAAAGTGAAAAGCTACAGTTTCACTTGTAGTAAAATGCAGAGGACCAAGACATTATCTTGTTGCTTTCAGGGAACAAGGTTTTCTCATGCAGCTGCGTCTCTGCATGAGTTCAAGTTTCTTTGTGCAAGAAGTGATGGACAACAACCCGTTCCAGACTGGCTTGGAAAGGTAAATATTTATGACTCATCTTGCATCTTTTGTGGAATTTGAATAGCCTGTTTTTTTCTTCCTTAATTGATATTTATACACAGACGTTTTCCTCATTCACATTTATGAAGGTGAGACCAAAGTTACAACTAAAATTCTGATCACTCCTTTACACACACGATTACTCCTTTACTCACGCCTCCTTCTGTCAACAAATAGTTGTGACTTAGGACATAAAATAGTTTTAATTGAACAAAGGCATACAGTACTTGTTTTTGATAACTAGTAGTTACTTTGCCTCTTAGTTTAGAACATGGCAATATATCTGGTCCGCAACTAGAGATATGCTTTCCAGTAACTTTTTTGTGCTTTTTCAGCTTGAAGAGGCGAAGCTATTACATGCCCAAGGGCGGCATGAAGTTTCCATTAGTCTTGCAAACTATATTTTACATAATTATCAATTAAAAGAAGAGGCTTCAGATATATATCGTGTGATTGGAAAGTGGCTAGCAGAAACCAGATCTAGCAAGTAAATAGATTGTTACTTTTTATTGGTTGAAAGCAGTTTCTATCTATGCTCGTAATGAACTTCTAAGAATCTCAACTCGTCTTTTTTTTTTTGTTTGCTTTCTCTTGAAAATAGCTCTAGAACAATTTTAGAGAAGTATCTCAGGCCTGCAGTTTCGCTTGCTGAAGAACAGAGTTCCAAGATCTGCAAAAGATTGGTAGATAGACAGAGCCAAGCTTGGTTTCATCTGGCTCATTATGCAGATGCTCTATTTAAGAGTTATGAGGAAAGACTCTCCTCCAGTGAATGGCAAGCTGCAATGCGGCTACGAAAACACAAGGTCTCCTCCACCTTGGTTGCTCAAAATTACCTTTTTAACATTTTCTTTCTGTACTTCTTTTTGTTTGTGGGTTATGCCTATTTTTGTTTTCCTTCTAAATGAGCACCAATCAATGATTAATCCCTTCTTTTGCTGTATCAGTAATAGTTTTAAATAGCTTCAACTCCTAAGTTTGTTCTTCTGTTGTGGGTGAAACTGGAGGCAACTAACTAGTGTGCTTAATTTTTCAGACGAAAGAGTTGGAGGTGCTTATTAAACGGTTTAAGAGTTCAAAGAAGGCAAGTATTAGTCTACTTCCGTTTGTTTGATCTCTAAACCGATCTCTTATCAAAGCACAATATGATGGTCGGTCTAGGCATCTCTCTCATTTTATTTCATATTTGATCTTTTACTGGACTAGGCGGAGCAATCTGACTATTCACTGAAGATCCAAGATCTGCAGAAGCAACTAACAATGGATAAAGAAGAAGCAGAAAAACTGCAGGTTTTTTTTTTTTATTCTGCCTTGATAATCTGGCTTCTGTGGGAAAGTAGTCATGGTTTTCTAGATAGGTGATATTTACTGATACGTGATCTCTCTCCTTCTCCTCAATTACGTAGGTTGACAGGGATAACTTTCTGAAACTTGCATTGGAGGGGTATAAACGTTGTCTGGAAATTGGTGACAAGTATGATGTTCGAGTGGTACGTTAATCTATAGTTCTGTGAGATTTGCGTATAATGTAAGATGTGAATTAGTGTCTGGAATTGATCCTTTATGACAGGTGATTAAGTGTTAGGTTGGCTCTAGAGTCAAATATAAAATTTCTTAAGAAAATGGTTTTAATTGTTAGGTTACCACTTTTAATGAATCTGCATATATATGTATCTGCATATATTATATTCCTTCGCATCTATCAACTAAGGATATATTTAGTGGTCTTAAATGGTCCAACGTTTCTTCTCTTTTCCTGTTTTGGGTTGCGGTCTCTAGCTGCTTGTCAATATTTCTCAATCGTGTTTGTGTTTGTATACTTATTGGTCATATCAATCTTTCTTTGGTTTTTGGGTACATGATGAAGTAAATTTGATAATGGCTCCACAGAGATTAGATTTAGTTCCATGTGAATGGTGGACCTGTACATATAGGTGTGTAAGGTTTGTGAGTAGCGCATACCTATATATGCCAGAATCATGGTAGAGTGACCTTTATATACATATAAGTCATACACTTTTTATTTGGGATTCATGTCCAATTTTGTCTTACATTATCTCAGAAAGATATTCAACGTTTTCTCTGGCGTTTTAGAAACATGTTTCAACGTTTTGTCTGGGCTTTTAGAACATATTTGAGAGCTTAGCAGAAACGTGGTGTATTCCATTATATTGTTAGATTACAGGAACACTGCTTGGAACTAATTTTTCTTTCTACAGGTATTTCGGCAAGTATCCATGTGGTTCGATCTTGCCTCCCAGAAAAATGTTATTGATAACATGTTGAGCACCATTAAAGAGGTACTTGACTAAAGTTATCAGATTTTATCTGCTATCGAGAAGGAATTCTTTGATTTTCTCTCCATTATTCTTGTTTAGTTTAAGCAATCTTCATCTCCCTAAACGTTCTTGCAGGTTCAGTCTTACAAATTTGTACCCCTTGTTTATCAAATTGCTTCAAGGTTGGGCAGTTCCAAAGATGAATCAGGATCTAACAGCTTTCAGGTGGAATGCAATTTTACATGGCTATCGTAGAAAACTTAAGACTATGATGCTAATCTCTACAATTTATTACTTGCAGTCTGCACTGGTTTCGCTTATCAGAAAAATGGCCATTGATCATCCATACCATACAATCTTGCAGGTTCTGAAGTGTTATCCATCTCTTGTACTCTTAATATTTCTTCTATTCTGTTTGGTTTACTGGCATAGGACTTGCTAGAAGTGCACAAGGTAAAATCCTTGAGTGTCCTATGACATCCCGAATCTGTTGAAAGAATGTGAAAACAGTGAAGTCTGTTGTGCTGTGTAGCATGCCATCGAAATTATATTATTAGCAAGTGACTTTGTCTATCTTATTCGAAGTCAAGTTTCTAAATACTGGATATATGTCTCGTATTTTTCTTTTGCTTTTGGTTCTAGCTTCTGGCTTTGGCAAACGGTGACCGTATCAAGGATAACCAACGCAGTAGAAATTCTTTCGTGGTTGATATGGATAAAAAGCTTGCAGCAGAGCATCTCCTGCAGGATATATCACATTATCATGGGCCTATGCTTAGACAAGTAAACCTTTTTTTCACCTAATCTTATGCATCATAGACCATTTTTCCTAAATACTTATCAGCAAATCCTGATTGTTTTTTCAGATGAAACAACTGGTAGATATCTACATCAAGCTTGCAGAGCTTGAAACAAGGAGAGAGGTCTGATAATTGAGTTTAGAGGAAGTGTTTTGTTATGCTGTTTGCTGAACATTTTTTGAAACATTTGTGGAACTCTTTCCTCTGCAGGATACCAATAGAAGGGTTGCACTACCAAGAGAAATTCGTAGTGTGAAACAATTAGAACTTGTAAGTACGCCATTGTTTAATTTATTCATATGCATTCTTATCTAGCTTAATCAAAATTATAAGCTTGTAGGACCCCATGTTGCTAATCAAGATAGCAAATTTCTTGTAAACTAAGAAACTTCCGTGGGTCATCTTGATAGGCACTCCTATACATACAACGGAGAATTTAGTGGCAGCTATAGATTGTTCAGATTCTTTAGCAAATTTTGTCCAGTGTTTTCATTTGTCTGCTCCCATGGTTCTTGTTTTGAGTCTGTTGCAACTCCTAACAAGATTGATACTGGGCTGAATGAATTTTGGCGATATAGTCTTTCGTTTATTTAATTGGAAGAGTTAGTTAGTCAGATGAGCTTGCAAGCATGTTTTCCATTTTCCTTCTAGTTCGAATATTCAATTTCGTGCTTTCTCTGTGCTTCTGAGGTATGTGTCAAAAAATGAATTTATTTTTGAGTGTAGGTACCTGTAGTGACTGCTACAATTCCTGTTGATCGTAGCTGCCAATACAATGAAGGGTCATTCCCGTTTTTCAGAGGTTTATCAGATTCTGTTACGTAAGTCCCTGCTCAGTCAATCCTTTGACAATCAATATAACAATACTTTTTTGCATATCTAGTTTAAAAGAGTACTTTATTTATCATGTCTATTGGATGATATGCAGAGTGATGAACGGTATAAATGCTCCAAAAGTAGTTGAATGCTTTGGTTCTGATGGCCAAACATATAAGCAACTTGCAAAATCTGGCAATGATGACCTCAGACAAGATGCTGTAAGAGTTTCAGAAGTTTTACTCGCAATATCTATAATATGATACAACGTGTGTGGCACTCCTCACTTGCAATATCTGTAATATGAGACACGGCACTGCTCCCTGTACTGGCAGCAAATTGAAAGTATGCTGACTTAGCCAAGATTACATATAAAATGGTCTAGTTATGCAAAGCGTGTACCACTTTGTTTCAGGTTATGGAACAATTTTTTGGACTCGTCAATACCTTTCTACACAATAACCGGGACACTTGGAAGAGAAGATTGGCTGTGCGCACATACAAGGTACGTCTCTGTATCAGTCTACTGGTTCTGTTTTAGAGAAAATTTGATCCATTCAGTAAGTTGAATTCTCTTTATAATGCATATATGTATATACATATTCTCAGGTTATTCCTTTTACTCCAAGCGCTGGTGTTCTTGAGTGGGTCGATGGCACAATTCCACTTGGAGATTATCTTATAGGAAGGTTGGTTTAGTAGACTAGTATTTACAATAACATGGTACAACAATCTCTCTTCCAAATCGTGCCAGTTGAAACTAACTGTTTGCATATCAAATCACAGCTCAAGGAGTGAGGGCGCTCATGGTCGTTATGGCATTGGAAACTGGAAATATCCCAAATGCCGAGAACATATGTCGAGTGTAAGCTCATTTCCTTTCGCAGATCTTCTTAGTTGGCCATCACTGACATCTGTTAATTCGCCTCAATTGATATCCGGTGCTTGATTGGTGGCTTGTAGGCAAAGGACAAACGCAATGCCTTCGTGGATGTCTGTACAAACTTCAGGTTTCGTTTTTTGTGGAACGTTAATTTAACTTACTCCGTAAGTAGGTTGGTGGCTGACAAATCCATCCCCTTTCGCAGGCCTGTCATGCATTACTTCTTCCTTGAAAAGTTCCTGCAGCCCGCTGACTGGTTTGTGAAGAGGCTTGCTTATACACGTAGTGTTGCAGCTAGTTCCATGGCAAGTATATCCAGTTTTGATGATATTTATACTCTCTTCCAGTTTACGATAGATGGGAGTTTCAAGTTGTGTATAGTTTAGAATATAAAACGGAAAAAATCATTTGTACCCGACTAAATGGCGTAAAATCTTAGTGAAATACATTTAGGAAGCTCTTAAATCTTAGTTGATTTGAAATTTACTTAAATGCTTGTAAATTTGTTAGCAAAAGAGAGCTGCCACCACCCTTTTAATCTCAACTGTTTAGTGAAGAAGGGTGTGGGATCCTATTCACCTCTTTTTTTTCTTTTTCTTTTTTTTGTTTGTTGACATCAAGTGGGACATGGTTCTATTTTCAGTCGGGGCATCTGGAATAGTTATGTTCTTTAGTTTTCCCTCTGATTCATCTCCTTTTGAAAATGTGGCATTTGGTTTGCTATCAGGTTGGGTACATCGTTGGTCTTGGTGATCGTCATGCCATGAATATTTTAATCGATCAAGCTACAGCAGAAGTTGTCCACATAGATCTTGGAGTTGCTTTTGAACAAGGATTAATGCTCAAGACTCCTGAAAGGGTGTGTTCTCTTCCATCTCCTCTCTTTACATATTTAATTGGTCTTCCTGTGAGTATATATAATCTTTGCATGATTCTCATTTGTTCATTTATGTTCTGATCTGACAGGTTCCGTTCAGACTGACAAGAGACATAATTGATGGAATGGGTATCACAGGAGTGGAAGGCGTTTTCAGGAGATGTTGCGAAGAAACCCTGTCTGTAATGCGAACAAATAAAGAGGCGCTGCTTACTATTGTCGAAGTAACCAGATCTAAAAGTTTCACTTTGAATTTTTTTTAAATACAAAAGCTTTTTTGAAACTCAATCAAGATCGCTTGTTTTGCAGGTTTTTATACATGATCCTCTTTACAAATGGGCCTTGTCCCCCTTAAAGGCTTTGCAAAGACAGAAGGTACCTCGTACCCTTATAGTTTAAATTAAATGTACAATGTAATGACCTTTGCAAAAAGGTTAAAAAGTGTGGACTTAATTACGGATTTTTGCGTGTATAGAAGGCCAGAACGCAGATTTTCCTGTTGTTTAAATAGATGCTTCTGATACTCTTTCTTTGGATTGGAATTATTTCTTCACGCAAATCATTTTGTGTTCCATTTCAATGTCTTGATCCAGACGACATTCCAATTCAATATTAGGATAGTTTATCCTGTTGAATACGTTTCATTTCTCACACAAATTTCTTGATCCAGGAAACTGAAGATTATGATGGCATGAACTTGGAAGGGTTACAAGAGGAATTCGAGGGAAACAAGGATGCTACACGTGCCTTGATGCGTGTCAAGCAAAAACTTGATGGATACGAGGGTGGTGAGATGAGAAGCATTCATGGCCAGGTAAAGTTTTTGACTTATTAATCAAAGGTTATAACAGCAAACGCTAACTTGTCTTTGGTTCACAATTTACTGAATCGTATTTGCTCGACACTTATTGTTTTGTAGGCGCAGCAACTAATACAAGATGCAATTGACACAGATCGTTTGTCCCATATGTTCCCTGGCTGGGGAGCTTGGATGTAACCGAGCTTCTATATGCTCCAATTTTTTGTCTGTGAATAGAGAAATCTTTATGTAAAGTTGATAATACTCGGCTGCCAAATTTTGTCGTAGCTTAGGAGGGGAGGGAGCAATCTAAAAATGGCTTTTGCGTGGTACAGAACGAATATGTGAAGCAACAAGCTCAGGCCTAAATATATATTTCTTCTTTTGTGCATTTTGCGTTTTGGCTCATGAAGTAAAAGAATTTCACTAGACCCGTATTTTATTATCTTTCAACAAGAAAAAGGTAATAGAAGCTATGTTTAAACAAGCTTCGAGCTTTACATTACAAAGGTTTAAGTTTACACACATACATAAAAGAATAATTTTATAGATCGTTGGTTGGAAGTGAACCCATTAGAATAGTGGTCTCTTTGTCTTGTTTTGTCTTACCAAATAAACTTGAGAGAAATCGTAGAGGCAAGACAGACGTAGAATCTGATTTCTTCTCTGATACTTGCAGCTCTCCAGGGCTCTTTTTCGGCTTTAGTTGCGCTCCGCAATGGCAGCTTGAGAGTCTTGCTAAGCATCTCTTGTGGAAAACCGAACCGCACGACCGGCATTTGTTAACCTCATCTTTCTCCTAATCATTGCAAACAATATATGTTGGATTAAGCAACATCTGAGTGATAGCGCAATTTGAACATGAAAAGAACAGAAAATCCAATTCCATCAAGGCTATGAATCGGTGATCAAACACCCAGTACTCAGAACAGGGGATGTGTTTTATATTCATTGCAAGTATAAAGTAAATGCTCACCTGGAATGGAAATATTAAAGAGGATGTGTCGTCACAAGCTTGTCGAGCATTACAGGGAACCCCCACATCACAACAAACAAGGCACTGTTCCGTAATATGCTCCAGGATTTTCCTCCTAACGGTCTCCACGATTGCAGGAAGTGCTGCCATTCAAGGGTAATGTCTTTAAATCTCTTGAATAAAGGTTGAAAATGCAAGGAAATAGATCATTGTAAACATAAACTAGCAGCAGAGTGGAATTGACATGTAAATCAATTGCTAAAGATATATGGAATCTATATCTAACTTCTTTATCTTTGAAGAAAATTCCGTCACCAGTAAAGAAGATTTGTCAGCATGTGCAAGTATGAGGAAAAGTATGTATGTGTCAGCCTGAGCGCAGACATGCATGAACTTTAAACCTTGGTTTAAGAAAATAAATTCACCTGCAAATGGCCCTTTAGAAAGATCAATTAGATCTCTCAAAGCAAAAAAATCAGTGCTCTCAAGAAGGTATCTCCGAGAACTGAGTCCTTTGTTGAGTGTCTTGCGGAATGGGCAGCGTACATATGGAAGCATAATGGTTATTCTTTTCCGGATGCTCATAATACGGTTGAGTGCAGGGACTTTCGAGGACAGAAAAGGGTTGACCGCACTGACACAAAGCATAGGCTGCAAAACAAGATTTGTCAGACATCAACTATGTCGCACTGATAAGTAAATGTAGAATGCAAACACTGGTGGTCAAAAGAAGCTAAAAAGGGGACAAAGGCAGTTAAAATTGGTTGCACGCTATAAAATGAAAGAACTGGAGCTTCTTGCTATAGGATCATATACATATCTATATTTGTTGTTAACTTTCAAGCTGTTCAGTGAAATTTAAATAAAACAAAAAAACAGAATCATATTCAACAATTTAAACTATATCATGGCTCCAGCTCTGACTTTTTACAGAATGTGGAAATATGGCAGGATAAATGAATATGCTTAAGCAGATAATGTAAGCATATACATGTATCAACTATCAGCTCTATGTGTGTAATAGATGCTTATATCAAGTCGAAGGAAAGGTACTACAAAGTCAAGTGTTCTACCTCTGCACACAGTACCCAGAAAATGACAATAAGTTACACCAAATATAGCTAGACCTAAATTTACCTGCTCGTGTATGGAGTCCAGATATGATTTTGCCAATTGAGAAACTGGATAACGATTAAAATCCCAATGATGTAACACTCTCGCTGGCAGAACTGCCATGTCATTTGCATGGCAGGAAGAACAAAACAATTGACCAGTATATTCGCAAAGCCGAGGCTTACCCCATCCAAGAGCTTTCACAAAGTCCCGCACAAGAGTGGCTCCATCATCAAAGTATCTATGACATCCAGCGCAAATGTAATGCTGAGCTTCTAGCAACTGCTTTACTGATTTTTGAGGTCGAATATCAACAATGAACGAGATGGTATTTCCATACGAAGAACTGCTTGCAGCAGCAGTGATGCCAGCAGAGTCTGTTGGAGATGCTATAGAAAACCCAGAAGCATTAGCATATGCATCTTGAGGAGATAAAAACCGAAGTAACGCATTTGGAAGTGTGGGAAAAAACCGGGATTGGAGAACTGAATTTAAACAATCTTGAATGAGGACAGTCCTTTCAGCGACAGCATTGGGCGATGTTCCAAATATTTTCCTGGATTCTCTCTCTACAGAGGCCCAAGGTGTAGGAAGTGTCCAGCCTTGATCAGCAAATAAAGATGTCAAACGACGGTAGAGACTATAAAAATCTCGATATCTTCTTTCAATTTCCCACTTGTCTTTCCCACTCCAAACCCTTATGATATACACTGTGTATTCCTTCACCCCAACCAATCTTTCACTCAGCGAGACATCACCTTTCTTTTGCTTTACCCCGACAACTTCAACCCTATCAATCCTAAATCGCTGGGAAACTGTTGGAGATGAATCATCTAGACCAGACGTTGTAGCAGTTTGCCCCCCATCCCTGTTAGGCAGAGAGAGCTGTAGTTGGAACATCTTGGCATTCTTAGAAAATCTTACCCCAGATGATTCACCAGAGTCGAGCAGTATTTCTTCCATATCATGAACAAAATCATCATAGAAGTTGTTTAGCTCTGTGTTCTCCTTCTGCAAGATGAGTAATCCAAAACCATAAAACTTCATTCAAGAATCAAAAGGAGACAAAGTAGAATCCATTAAGTTTACAGATTGCAGGAACCCTTCCTTCTTAATGAACAATTGACTTGTAATGGTGATAGTAACAAAACAGTAGTAGAACGACATCCTGTTAAACCCTCAGATTTGCACTGTTTAAATGTCAGAGGAGCATCATAAATTGAAATGCACTGTTCCCAGAGACAGAGCATGGAAATCTAACAGACTCACTTGGACATAACCTATGATGCACGGGGACGTTAATTTTCAGCCGTCTCACGTCCCAGTTTCGTTTCGGGGACGGGTACTTGATGGGGACAGCCTAAAAACGTTTCCCCCACGTTTCAGAGTAGTTAGGGACGTCAAGCAAAAAATGGAAACGTGAGGGAACATATACGGGGACGTTTCCAATGAGTTTTTGGAAATAAATTAAGTGTCCTCCTTTTAGAATAGGCAACTTAACTATTTTTCCTACAAAAAACTCAAACGTAAAAGGAATTAAAAGGCATGTTCTAGGGGTTTAACATAAGATTCCATGGAAGATATGAGGTTCTTTGAGTTTTCCAACCTTTAGATGATCCAGATCTTTGAAAATCAATTCCTCGATATTAAGCTTTTTTATGTTATTTAGAATATTAAATCAAAAAAAAAATTATGTTGAGACTTATATTTATATTTAAGGGTATTATATATATATATATATATATATATATATATATATGTATATGTTTTATTGAAGTACCCATGCCGTACCCGTATCTATGAATTTTTATTTTGCCGTTTTCTGTCCCCGTTTCTAGTTCCCGTACCCGTTTCGATGCTACTTAGGACATAACCCAAGGACAATACAAGCGGAGTTGATAGGCAGAGATAAAATTAACGTTAATAATGTTTCATATATTACGCAGCTGACCTTAGGTTGTGTGCAAGTGACTTGTAAGGCATTTGTTACAGGATGAGAATCTCTAGATGATGGCATATCAGAGTTCTGAGATGCCAACAACGGTTCTGAGGTGCACTCTCCAAATGGTTTTGACTGTTTTCCATTCTCAGATGATTCATGAAGTAGTCCAGAAGAAACATCGCCATCTAGGTCGCAAAACCCACCTGAAGGATCTTCAATACCTAACTCAGTTGGTGTAATATCTAGGACGTCGTCAGTGCTACAATATTGAAGGTAATTCATGACTACAGGTCTATCTTCATTTTGACTGTTGCTAAGACAACTGTCACGGAGAGACTCATCTGTTACCAGTGATTGGCGAACCACCAAGGTTTTAACTCCAGCGCTCAGGTCTCCAAAATCTTTGGCAGTTATGCTGTCTCTTGCTATGTCACCTTGCTCCCTTTGAGTCAAGACAGTTAAATCTCTAGATCTAATATCTTCAATATTTGCACGGCAGTCACCTACATCTGGAGCAAGTCTAGTGCTCATAGTTACGTTTGTATGCTCTCCCCGATTTCCTGCTTGAGCTATATCTGGAAGCTTTTGTAACGATACAGAAAATGCTTTTGTGGATGTTCCTTCACTTTCAGTACACCCTTTATCACGCTTCTCAAACCCACTGAAGTCAAATTGAGTGTCAACAAGTTCTGTGGCTTCAAGCTCAAACTCATCCCAATCATTTGTACCAAAGGCAGTGGAAGAATTGATGAGAAATGGATTATCATTCTCATCTTTAGGCTCCTTTTGAAACTGTAAATTCCGTGGAACATATTTACGAGAATGATCACCTGAATCACTAAGTGAGTCATCATCACCATCAGAATGTTCATCATCTATCGAACTTCCACCTTCTCTATCTATACCACTCGTATGGTACTGTGAATCTGATCTACACAAAATATCCTCATCTTCCATTTCATCCAACAGATTCACGGAATCTTTTTCAATCGTAGCTTCACCACTCACCAAATCACCACACAAACCTTCACCATAACCAGTATCTTGGATCATATCAGTGTTACCATTCCCGGTGTTTAACCCAGGTGCACTGCTACTTGTACCATTACAAGACCCACCCCCATCAGAAAATCTGATTCCTCGATTACCTAATCGTGTATTATCCAAAGAAGAGAGCTTTATAGGACTTGGTCCCAAGCTAAAATTCTCTAATTCAGATTCCAACGAATCCTGAAACGGTCCAGTAGAGCTACACATACTCGGCGTTCCCAAAGCTGAATTCGCACTACAATACCGCTCAAACTCTGATTCACCACATGACGAGTAATGTAACGATGAACCTGGTGAACCATCCTGACCA